TCGTCAATTACAGAATCGTTAGCTTAAAAATAATAATTCTGTTTGCTACTTTAAATATTATTTAGTATAAAAGCATTTTCTATCTATTTAAATTGCAAATTTCAATAATTCTATGTTAGTACACTATTTTTTCCCATTTGTTACAACAAGCTGTGCCTTTTAGAGCCTGCTAAATAAATATTTAAAAATTACTATTAATTATTTTGTACAAATAATTATTAATTTTTACGGAATTTGGCGTATGATGTAAATATTTTTATGAAACTCACTTGGTGTAACCCAAATTCAAATTACAGGTCACGAAATATTTAAAAATTATTAAAATAAATTAGAACCTTATAATCGAATATTAACAGCTGAGATTTTAAGAACTTTCAAAGTCGAAGTTTTAAATTGGCTATTAAAGAACGAATATCAATTCTCTCCAATATCTTGATTTTTTCGTCGCTTTATTGGTAATCCGTTTTTCTATGGATTGGAGAAGTGTAATGAGGAAGCAAAGCGGGCTCAGATAGCGAAGAGATCTGAACAGAACAGCGGAAACAACTCTGACACTAGCAAGAGATAGAATGCAAAGGCTAAGTCCCTAATTTTTTTCCATTTATTTCTATTAAAATTGGATATTATGAATAAAGAGATTATCATGGATTAATTTAAGAGACTTATATGGATTAAAAATTAATGACCTACGAATTCTTATCATGTAACAGCTCAATTACTATGAATTGTTTCTTTAACGCATGTTAATTAAACAATTGGAAATCTCTTAAAATTTAAAGCAAAGGCATGATAGTGAAAACTGCGTTGTATTTTAATTCATCAATTGTTTTCTACGAAGGTTAAATATATTTATCATCAGACTTTCATTCCTACTAAGATCTTCCTTAGAAAACTTGAATTCTGATGTGGTCAATGTTCACAGATAATTTAGACTTTCAATGAGCTAAATATAGATTTAATTGAGATATTTTCATCAAATAAATGTATCCATACTACGTATTAAAATGAAGAGAAGTGCAATCAAGACATGCATCACAATACTGACATATTTTTTAAATAAGAATAAAAGAACCGGCATAACACTCTACACTCGCGAAACAATTGGGTAAAGATATTTTTTTTAAATATTATCTTTCATTTGACATATGAAGGAAAAAAAGTTGGAGTGTTTTATTCAAACGATTTGTACCGATTTTAATTTTCAAGAGTCAATGGAGAATAGTGACTAATTAAAGAGCTTATGGTCACTTCTTCATAGGTACTCATAAAGGAAGTTATTGTTACTTATTGTATTGAATTATTTATTTCATAATGTGTACTTATAGCTTCCTCTCATTAATATGTTTTGCGCTTTAAAATACGAAAACTATTTGCGTTCTGTTATAGGTCACAGGATATGGTTTTATCAGGAATGAACACTATTTACCCTAGTGGATAATCTACCAAAATAGAGGTTCTTAGTTTCAAAATTTTAAAATGAGATTTTAAAAAGAAAATAATCTTTTTAGATTAAAAAATCGTTTGCAATGCCGCCATTGCTGTTTTGAGTGATCAACTTAATACTTGTTTTCTGCACAGAAACTACAACAATACGAAACGCGTGACATTTCGATAGAGTAAAGAAAATTGTATTGAACGAAAAAAATAAACGGACCACCCTGAATAACTTTTGATCGGATCTTCATGTTCTAGGACTCAATCTCAAAGGTTTGAAGGAGATAATCTCAAATATGCTAATTAATTAGCGCAAACGATATTTTATGTTACGACGTCAGACACAAAAACTCACTTTCTCTGAATAAACATACTTTTTTTTCGACGGATTCGAAGCCGCAATCTGGAAAATATGGTCCCCATAGTTTGGTCAGGAAAGTGATCCGAAGTTTGACCCCTAAATGCTAATATTACTTTTTGCATATTTTGCCGCATCTCGAGAAATTTTTAAGCGAATTGAAAAATTTTTGCTCACAATTATAAAATTCGTTTATCCAAAGAAAAATTCATGCGAAAAATAACTGTTAGTAAATATTTATTATTTTTTGTTATTTTATTTAATAATAGCCGAAGAAACCGAATTTTAAAAAAGACGTATATTTAAAATTTGATTTCTCAGGAGCTATTCGACCGATTTTACTCAAATTTTGTATTCTTGCAAGCAAAATAAACTTCTTTAAAATGGTGTGAAAATTTTTATACCTTACATTTCAAAATGTTTTCGATCAAATACGGTTCATTTATTTATTTATTTTTCATTTTTATTTATTTATTTTTGCGTACTGTACTTGACACTTTGAGCAGTGTACAATGAAATGATTCTATTTGCCTTGAAATGATATTACGTATACCTCGTTCAAAAGCAAAATTACTTTTTATTCAAATATATTTTTATCACATTGAACTGAATTTGACCCATTCCAAGACGATCGGGTTAATAGTTTACAAGTTATAAGGTTTTCATGTAAAAATATACAATTTTGTACTTGTACCTATTTAAGCATCTGATATTGCAATCTAAGCCAGTGAGTTCTATGCATTTTTTTTCCACCGTGAATCGAATGAAATTCTATATAAGTTAATAGAACAAATAGTTCAATAGTTGCACGAGTTTTTATGAATAGAAAGTACTTTTTGACACGTACCTATGTATACCCTTTGCATTGCTATCTAAAGACTATTTAAACATTTAAGGTATATTTTCCGATGTATTTTTTTACTCTGAATTGCATGAAATAAAAACTGAAAAGATTAGGCTAATAGTAGAAGTTATAAGCGTTTTATATACAAAAGTACAAGCTTGTACTTGCATATATTTACTCATCTTACATTGCTAAACAGACAAATGAAATATCGTTTCCTATTTATTTTTCCTGGTTTAATCGAATGAGATCAAACATGGAATCAAAAAGGCTAATATTTCAAAAGTAAAAACTATTTTATTTCTTTTCTATTTTTTATTTAAAAAAAAAATTGTATAAAATATACTATTTTTAAATTGAACTTATTTTATGGAAAACCCTTATAACTTCAAAATTATTCATACTTTCAACTCGAATCTTATCTCATTCATTTCAGTATAAAAAATTTCATCAGAAAATATATCTCCCATGTTCCTATAATCCCTTGACAGCAAAATAAAAAGTGAAGTAAGTCATGTCAAAAATAGTACTTTTTATGTATGAAAGCGTTTGTAACTTTTAAACAGTTTTTCCATAAACTCGAGTATTGTCTCATTCTATTCACCGTAAAAAATACATAGCAAACGATGTCTCACTTGCCTGGATAGCAATATCAGAGGTTAGTCCGATCATCTCGAAATTGGGTTCATTCAATTCATCGTAGAAAATTACATCGGAAACTTACTAGTTTAAAAAAAAAATCAATTCTCTCTTTCTTATTACCTCATTTCCCTAAAGAAAAAAAAAAGGGGGGGAACGTGCAGAGGAGAGCTGGAAAATTTTCATGCACAACTAAGCTTATTGTAAAAAAAAAAAAAAAAAAAAAATTGGGTATTAATTTTTCCGAAAAAACATTAAAAATGNAATTTTTCTGAAGAAACATTACAAATGTATTTTGCTATAATTAATGGACTATGGGCACACACATAGTAGCCAACATCTACCTACCCGTTAAATTTCGATGTTGCATTTGGACGCGTTTGCTTAACTGATACAAAATTCTTTATTTTATTTGTAACGGAGAGTTGCATTCTGGGATCAGTTGGTCTACCCTCAGGACCACTTCATGGGTATTTATTGATGTTGCTGCCTTCGTCAGTATTGATTCCGAATACTTGGTTATCCTACTCAGACTCAGCCTTTCTATACGGGTTTCCATTCATTAATATCATACAGTAGATTTAAAAATGGACATTGCTCTATTATAGTGCAAATCAAATGGGGATAGAATCATGTTACTCGTCGCTTAACGGATCCTCATTGATTAAACTCAAGCGGAGGACTGTACTAAACAATATATATATATATTTCAAGTGAAAATCGATTTAAAAAAAAATTAAAAAAAAAGAAGAAGAAAAGCATTTTATTCCTATAAAGTCAGCTATCATCGAACTATTTTTGCTAACATAAATTAAGTTTCGAATCTAAAGCAATTATTTTTTGATAGAGATGGAAAAAAAATAGGTTAAAAGTTTTTTCTATTGCATCATCTCCGAATACTGAATCAAAATGAATTGATATATATTTTGCCGAAGAAATACAAAATATTGTATTGCGTATATTTGATTTCTCTCTATGTTAAAAAATGGCAAGCTCCTCTTTCCCTCTCCTCCTCTGCTCAGATGTATAGGAATGTAACGATTTTCCCCAATGCGCTTAACTTGGAAAGTTAAAGCAGTTAGTTTTTAAATATTTGTAAAGAAATTTTATTACCAGTATTTTAGTTTCTTGAAGACACTGGTCAGCTTAAGACTTTGAAATGGCGCAGAACGTCAAAGACATAGTTTTGTGAAAATGAAAAGCTCGTGTGGTCAACATCACCTGGGCTCATAAAAATTAGCTAAAAACTGAAATTACGGTAGTGATATTGAGAATTTTCCTCCATGTGGAAAAATATAGCAAAATTGGCAATTTCTAAAAAAGTTTAATAACTTTTAAAATATTTAAGTTATTTGTCTGTTTTAAAGCTCAGATAATTCTTCATGGCAAGATTATATATAGTTTAAAATCATTTCATTGCTTCAAACACTTAAACTATGTTTTTTTTTTTTTTTTAATTTTTCTTAGCTTTTCCTAGAGCTTCGAAACAAGCGGTATAAAGGGCCATTTTCACTGACCCCTTTTTTTTTTTTTTTTTTGCATGCGAACCATAATCTGATTGGTCAGTGTTTCGCGGCTAAATGTCTTTTCACAATCCGGAAAAACGCATCCAGAAAGATTGTTTCCTATTTTGTATCTCGGCTAACCCCGGTTATTAATTCCTTGAAAAGTTTAATTTAAAATGATATGAAGTGAGTAAAAAGAAGTTATGTCGTCTGCAATTTGAATGTGTTATTTGTTTTGATCTTTCATTTAGTTGCTTATGTTAAAACTATTGCTTTTATTTTTGACTCAGTTGATTTCATAGTTAGTTTATATTCATAATATACCTATTATGATAATATTCCTAAAATTAAGGAACGAAAACCTACGTTTTGGTCTGTCATTTTACTCCAAGGACTTAAAGTGATTTTACCAACCCTTTTCTCCGAAAGTTACATAAATCAAGTAAAAATATTTCAGTCAAATTCTCCGCTCATTAATACATTTAATCACTCACTAAAAATGTCACCCCATTTTCTCATTAAAAAAAGGTAACATTAATTGTAGATGATAAAATCATTATCTGTTTCTACGCTCTCCATTGCTTTACTCATCCATCGTCAACACACGTAAAACAGAGCCTTTTTTTCACAAGTGCATCATATATAATGCTTCTCTTATCAATAATCTAGATATATGATAAAATCTACTTTCGTCACTAATCAATTGATGATGTCACTTATCAGTTTCCCTTTTTATTTTTGCAGCTCACCTGAATGTGCCATATCGATGACAGCGAGCACCTGCTTCAGAGCTCTACCAACATGGAAATCATACAAACGGTAAGAGCTATTACAAATGTTCTTTTCTTTATTTGTAAATTTATTATTTATCAATCTAGAATGTACTAGAATGCTATTTTGGTCACTAATTTGCTTCGATTATATTTTGCTTCAATATTAGCACACTTTTACAGTGTTCAATTTTGAAATGAATTCTCAGCTAGATCTATTAGTTAATGCTATTTTTATGTTTAAATGCTCTTTTCATTTTATTTTTCCTTCAATGTATGGATTCTTTTGCAGTTTTCATAATCAAATAAAATTTTTTTGGTGTACCCGGAAAAAAAAATTATGTTATGAAAAACTAAGTGTACAAAGTAGTAGCATTATTTGTCTTAGAGAAGGACAAATAATGCAAAAAAATAATATTGGTTGATATTATTTTTATGCATTATTTGTCCTTTTCTAGGATCCCTGATATAATATATTTATAATCCTGTAATATTTGCACTATTTTGCAGCATGCATTTCTGAAATCATTTATTGCTAGATCTGTTAATGTTAAATTTGTGCTTAAATTTTATTATATTTTGTTTTAATGCATGCATTCTTTTGCAATGCCTCTTTATGAAATAATTTTTATTTGAATCTGTTTATTAATGATATTCTTATGTTAACTTGTGAATGTTGTTATATTTTGCTTTAATATATGTATTCTTTTGCAGTATCCATTTTTGAAATCATTTTTAGCTGGATCTGTTAGTGGAACTTGTTCTACATTACTTTTTCAGCCTTTAGACTTAATAAAGACAAGAATACAAAATGCCTCAAAGTGTGGGTAAGTAAATAATTTTACATTTGCCTTTAGTATTTTTACAATAGCTGTTATCCTAAAAAAATTAATTATTATAAGGTTTCACATCATTTGTAAATAACAATTTAAAATATTAGTAGGTATTGTTTAAACTAAATTATCACTATTTCTTTTTTTATCACTAATCAAAATGAATTATCACAATGAGATCTGATAATTAACAATTTTCCTATTATACTCATGAAAAAAAGTAAAAAAAAAAAGTTGCAATAAAACTATTCAATTGTATCCAATTTTCTTTGTCCTAATTTTTTTGAATATATGCAGGTAAGATTTTGTGTTGTAAATGTAAAGGGAAATAAGTTATGTAAAATTTATTATTGATAACAAAAAGTCAGTAGATAAATTGTTTAGTATTATTTGCAACCAGACCAAGAATAATATTCAATATCCCTTCTGTACAAAGCAATCTGCATCGTGCATCTTTCAAGTATGAACAAAAGAAATTTAATCGTGTTTTTAGTTGTTTTTGGTACATCATATATAAAGCATTTCATTTTTTGATTTAGTCTCAGAAGCTTTTCTCAATCACTTTTTATTTAGACCCAATACATTGAAGGAAGCTAATTAAAGTAATTTGATGTCAATTATTAACTTTACTTCAATCATCTTGTTATAGAATATGTGTCCTTTATCATTCAAATATCTAATTGATATATTTTTATTTCCTTAAGAGTTGTCTGTAACTCTGTGTTTAAAGTAATCATTTCTTTGCATTTACTTTAAAGTTTTTTATAGTATAAATTGATAGTTATATCCAATTAAAAAAAACATAGAGCACTAAATGCATATCTGGGTTTATATGTTAATAATATTCTTAAGAATAAATTATTCTTATTTATCATTATAGTTTAAAAACTTTTTTTTAGACAAAATAAGAATGGAATGGTCACTTTGTTTGTGCAAGTTTTACGCAATGAGAAACTCTTGGGTTTATGGCGAGGCACCTTACCAGTAAGTAGTAATCATTTTTTTAAAAAAAGTTTAGAGTAAATGTTGTGCAACAACTTGAATTGTTTCTGTTAAGTTATAAATTTAATTTTATAATAAGATTTAATGTTAATAAGATTATTAGTAATTTTTTAATAAGATTTATAATAGGATTATTATAAATCTTATTAAAAAATTAGATTTATAATAAGATTAATTAGTCATTTAATTTTATATTAAGATATGACATTTTTTTTGTAGGTAATTGTTAGCACATAATAAATTTTATGTTATAACTCAATTTATACAGAGTAATTCAAGAAATTAATTTCCTATTCATGATAGATTGTCTAATGGTCTGATCTTTTCTATTATCTTGTGTGTAAACCTTTTTCATATTTTAATTTAAATTCTTTGTTTCAGTCTGTGATGAGATGTGTTCCTGGTGTTGGAATGTATTTTAGTTCTTTACACTGGCTGCAGACAAACTTTGGGTAACTATCATTAATATTTTTCAAAAGTAGATTTGCAATTTGTTAACTTCATTAAAGCTATTATTTTTTAGCATTCTCTATGAACATTGCAAAATTTTAAATTTAAAATACTCAACATAGAGAATTTAGGAATTTTAAAGATATTTTCTATTTTTGAAATAAAGAGATGTCATACTATTCTTCGAGTAATAATAATTGATATTGAGTATTAATATAGAAATAGACCTTGTTTAATTTAAATACTTATTAATTCAGGTTGTTATATTTTTCTTTTGTTTAGTTAAATTTTATATTCTAATTCAATATTTTTATTACCTTACACAGTTCTGAGAATCCACATCCCTTGGAATCAATGAGTTTTGGTGTTCTAGCCAGATCATTTGTTGGTGTTACATTATTGCCTGTCACTGTTTTAAAAACCCGTTATGAAGTGAGTATAATTTATTATATTGTTAATTTAATAAAATTTAAGTTCCTATTGTGTAATATTTTGTTTGATATTAACTAGATCTGTGTATATATTTAATACCAAATTTTTATTGGTATTTTCGATTTATTTTGCTATTTTATTTTTTAATATCATTTATTCTTCAATAGCAGCTTGAAAAAATTATTATATTTAAAAATTATTCGAAATATATATTTAAGAAGTTGTGCTCTTTTTAATTTATTCAAACAAAGAATACATTAATTTGTATTCATCATAAAGGTCAAAAACTTAATCTACACTCTTAAAAATATCCGTGAAATATTTAAAACTAATTTTATATCTGTGTCTAACATTTTTAAGGATGTCACTATAATATATTTATTTGCTTTTTTTTAAAAAAAAAAAGTTTCTAAAGTATTTGCAATTTAGAATTTGTTTTTTAAAAAATCCAGTATTTTTTTTCTTCCAGTATTATTCACTTTATGAAAAATAGTGTTTTAAATTTTAAAAATGCTATATTTCTTTAATAGCATTCAATCACATTTTCAATTTTCTGCATAATACTTAAGTCATTTAATTTTTACTCTATCACTAATTTTTCATTTCAACTAATGAAATGACTTTTAACTAATGAACACATACAATTAGAAATTTTTTTCTCCATGTTACTAAACTCTTTTTATTATAATTAAACAAACATCTGTAAGATAAAAATCTAAACATTTTTTTTTTGTTTCTTTTAACTATGATTATGCATGCAAATTTTTTCTTTTCTAATAATGTATTAATAGTATACTATTTAACAATTAATATATTTTTAGACTAGTTGAAAAAATTTGCACAGCTAAATAATAGTTGTACTATTTATACTGTTTGAATTTAAATAAATAGTTTAAATAGCATTACAAAAAATTTGAAATTTTTAATGGAATTCATCAAAACATGTTTGATTGCTCTAGGAAATTTAGAAGAGTTTTTACAACACTCTCTATAACATTCCTAAAAATTACTGTTATTATTTATTAGTTAAAATTACATAAACCAGAATATAAAAAGTTATTTCTTTTAAATGTTTTATCTGTTTTTAGTTTGTTTTTTTTTCAATCATTTGTGCTTCAATATTTATTTAACTTTATTTTTCAGAGTGGTATTTATGCATACAACAGTTTATCTGAAGCTCTTTATAAAATTTATAAGTTTGAAGGAAGAAAAGGTAAATAAATCTACTTTTTTATTAATTAAATTTAGAGGTTAATAAAAAATTACATTCACAATATAATAACTCATTATTTAACTTATTTCTTTTGTAGGTCTTTTTTCCGGGATGATACCTACACTTTTTAGAGATGCACCTTTTTCAGGAATTTATTTGATGTTCTATACCCAAACTAAAAAGATGGTTCCTCCTTGTAAGTATATTTTTCATTAAATAACCTTTTATCTATTTATTAATCTTTAAAATTGCTATGAAAATTTAGTTAATTTCAAAACTACAAGTTATTATTGTTCTGCTAAATAACGTTTAGTACAGTTTTGTGTACTCGGACATCAGTAGAAAAGCACACGAGAAAAAAAATTATCTGGACTATTTATGGAAGAAAAAAAAACCTATAAGTCATTTTAGAACTTTTTATTTATTTATAGTCTATTAAAAATATTTTGATTTACATATTTTTCTTATGTTATGAATCAGCCTACTAAAAATTTTCAATGAAATTTCTCTATTTTTTTAAGTAATATAATTATTAATGTAATTAATAATTTTAAATTTAGAGTTTATAAAATTAGCTCTTTATAGTTATGTAGATATTTAAAATTCTGTTGCTTTCAAGTTTTAGCTGGTAAATTTTTAAACATCAAATGATAATAATATTATTACTTATGACTTTAGTATAGAATTTTGTAGATATTTATAAGATATCATTTTTTAGTCTCAATTACTGTGAGAATTTCTTTTGGTAAAACAGTCACTTGACAAATAAATCTAAATAAAACTTAGAAAAAATGTTAATTTTGGAAAATTGTTTTTTTTTTTGTATATGTTTGCATAAAATAAACTAGACTGCATTAAAGTTAAATTTTTCGAAACACCTAATATTACTAAAAATGGTAGAGAAAATATATAAAATTTGAATATCATGTTATTTTTTTTCCTACATGCTAGTTATTCACACAAGTAACATTGACGCTTCTATTCTAGATGTGCATGACTACGTCTCAACAGCACCTGTTAATTTCACCTGTGGAATAGTTGCAGGAGTATTTGCTGCAGGAATAACACAACCTGCAGATGTGATAAAAACAAAAATGCAGCTGTATCCTAAAAAGTACAATACAGTTCCAGTGGCTGCTACTCTAGTCTTTAAAGTATGTTCTGCTTTGAAAAATTTATTGATATAATTCAACACTGCCTACTCAATCTTTTTCATGAATGATGCCCATTATTCAACTATTTCTTTTGTTTAATTTTTATAGGAAAATGGAATTCAAGGTTTTTTCTCTGGTATGGTTCCTAGAGTGGTTAGAAGAACGTTAATGGCTGCTCTGGCATGGACTGTGTATGAACAAGTAAGCTTATACATTTATTTTTATCTCCTTTTTTCCCTTCAAATCAGCTATTTAAAGAAACAAGCTCATAGATATTTGTCCAAAACAGTTTCTTCTAAATTCAAAATATGCTATGAGATAGTATATACTTGTAAATTATGTTGAATTAAAAGCTTAATTTCTGTTAAATATATTTGATTTAATGTCAGCAATCAAATTAAAATTTTATTTAAGGAACCAGATTACAAAAATTTAAATAATTGCAATGCTTCACACATATAAATTGTATTATAAGGAAAGAGAGAGAAAAAAAAAGATTTTTTGAATATTGAAACATAATCCAAAACTAAATCTCAAAAGAATACTATTCTTATTCAATTTGAAGAAATAGTGAACTCTATTAACTGTAAACAATGAATGTTTAATATCAGAAAAAAATTCTTTCTTTTATAAAACTTAAAACAAAATATTCCAAGGTTGGCAAGTTTCTGCCGAGGTGGTTAAAACCACTGGTAGAAACCGGTTAAAACCGGCATGGCAGAAACTGGCAGTAATTCAGAAAATGACATAAAAGTAAGAACTGAGATTGACATATAATGGATAATTCATAGAAAAAACAATTAAATGTTAAACAAAGTACAATTTTTTTACAAAATTATCACCATTCAAAATCAAATATTACATTGTTTGCACTCTGCAGTAATATATAACAAAAGACAAAATTTGATGCAGTTTCTAAACCTAAACAATTTCTCAATTTGCTATGCACAAACGAGAAATTTGAGAAGATTCTCTCAAGTCCAGCAGAACTCGCAGGCATTGCCATCCACAAAAGATTAAAACTGTTACTGTTATAATAATTGGATTGTTGCCATGCAAATTATGTCTTGAAAATAGCTCTATTCAGTTATGTTAAGAGTTAAATGATAATAATTACTGAATTTCAGAATTTAATATAAATATTTGACATACAGCACTCTTTATATTTAATGTAAACAAAATAATATATATTTACAAACAATGAACTAAAAAGTTTGTTACAGTTACATGGAGTTAAGTTTTTCAGTTTACTTAAATAAAATGTCACTAAGCAATTACTAGAACTAATTATAGAAGTTTTTTTAGTTTCTGCCGGTTATAACCAGTTTCTGCCGGCAAAAAGCCAACCCTGAATATTTCCTCCATCTCATTTAATCTATCTCCCAGCTATCGTACCTCATAGGGNATGTAAACAAAATAATATATATTTACAAACAATGAACTAAAAAGTTTGTTACAGTTACATGGAGTTAAGTTTTTCAGTTTACTTAAATAAAATGTCATTAAGCAATTACTAGAACTAATATAGAAGTTTTTTTAGTTTCTGCCGGTTATAACCAGTTTCTGCCGGCAAAAAGCCAACCCTGAATATTTCCTCCATCTCATTTAATCTATCTCCCAGCTATCGTACGTCATAGGGATGAATAAATAGTGATTTTGCAGAATATTTGACCAAAAAAATATTCAGTGGCCAATAGCAATATTTTTAAAAAAAAAAAAAAACATTAATAAATATTTTTTTTATAGAAATAAGTTTAGTCAGTGTAAAATAATCAAAACTTAGCTGTATTATTGGTATGTAGATAATAAAGGTAATTAGAACTATTATAATATTTATTAAGATAATTAGAAATATTTAAAATAAAAGAACTAAAGTTTAAAATTGGAAATTTTTTTGCAGATTTGTGTAAAATAGGTTTTGTATATGTTTGAAAGTTCTCTTTAAAGTTACCAAGAAACTTATTTACCAATATATTATACATCTACCAACTTTTATTTACAATTTTAATTCTTCTTCAGGTCATAAGCTGCTCCGGATTGAAATAAGCAGGACTGATATTGTTCTATTAAAAGAACTGATTGCATTGGAATGTGTGTTCAATATAAATCAAACAGAGACATTTTCTGTATGAAGGAATTGTATATGCCATTTGCATTTTTGTGTATAGATATTAAACTATGATACTTTACTAATGTGACAAATTCAACATTACATACCTTTTGCCAAAGATTACTGAAATGATATTCTGCTGTCACTTGTTTATTAATGTTCATAAATCACTTTCCTTTTTGATAATTTAAATGTTGAATCATTATTTAAATCTATGATACTTTACTAATTTGACAAATTCAACATTACATACCTTTTGCCAAAGATTACTGAAATGATATTCTGCTGTCACTTGTTTATTAATGTTCATAAATCACTTTCCTTTTTGATAATTTAAATGTTGAGTCATTATTTAAATCTAATTTTTCATTAAAAATACCTTTAAAAATTAATTTACTTGCAATATTAAATATTTTGCCTTTTTAAAATACCTTTTATTGAATTAGTTTTACTTTCTTTTTTGTTTTATAAATAAGAATTAGTTTAATGTTTTTATTTATAAAAGTATATTGAGATATTTATGGTCTTGTATTGTTATATGTATATTTTTAAATGATATATTTATTGTTTTGAATGTTACTTTAAGGGAAGTAATTTTTTCTCATTGTATTGTATCAATACATGCTTTAATGAATGAAGATGCTTAGTGCATTATTATTTATTACACTGTGTAGATATTTGTATAGTTTTATGCATCTTGTTGCGCTGACTTTTAGCTTTGTTAAATACTTTTTATTAAAAAAAAATATATATTTTTAAATAAAATTAAAAAAAAGTCATGAGTCTTTTGTTTTTAAATGAATTCTACATAAGTAATTCTTAAATACTGGATGATCAAAAAATAACTGATTTACAGAGTGGGTTAAAGAACAATGGAAGGTCTGTAAGTTCATCAACAGATGACGCTGCAAACTAAGAAAAACTTTAAAGTAATATTTTCAAACAATAATTACCATTTGCAGTAACAGCTTAGCGGAGTCTGAGGATAAAATTTACAGATATTCATGCAAATATTTCAATTTGAATGGTCTGACAAGTAGCAGAAAGCATTTTTGTTCATAGTTGAGGTCTAAGATGGCTGAGGACAAAATTTGCAATCCACTTTGAAACTGGCTGGGAATAAATTATATGGTTTCTTTAGCAGAATGCATGTTTCTATATTCTACAGCTGTCTTATTTTTGGGACACTCGGTAATTGCTTATACTTCCAAACACAAAGTTTTCAGTCAGATGTTTATGATTTTCATTTCAGTTTGGCCACTAAAAATAATTAACGAATATTTAAACATAATTTTTTTATTAAACAAAACAACACCAAGCAGTAAAAAGCATAAAACAGCTACACAACTTACATCAATAAAGCGTCATGAAATGATACACAAAATGTAAAAACAATAAAAAACCAATTGTGAGACAGAGTAAACACAATTCGTTTAATCACTTAAAATAATCGTCACAATTTTACATATGAGAGGAATAAATTTCCTGAATATATATCACTAAATACCACAAATAACCAACATATCGCTTACTTTCTTTTGAAACATGTAACATTTTTTTTACAATAATAAGAAATAATGAAAATTTTAAGATAAACTTTCATTAGAAAATTTTAACACAAAGCCACTAAACTCTCTACACTATTCTACAAATATATGCAACAAAACATCAGCAGCCAATTACATTTTTTTTTTAAAGTTGATATTTTTATAATTTTATGAAGTTTCTATGCACTTATTACATAAAACAAATACAGGACTTTCATAACAAAGTAGCGTTCAAATAATTCATGCTTACCAATTGACAATCTTTACTGAGATAAGTTAAAATGTGCATGTCATGACACAGATTGAATAAACTAATCATGCTTCAATTTTTTTTTTTTTTTTAACAAACAGAATACAAATGACAAAATATATATTACCTACCTATAGTCAACGAAACTTAATTACAATATAAAAAATACATATAATCAGTATACACATAAAATTATTAGTTTTTTTTAAATCAAGCTTAATAATTTGCAAAATATTACCTATGTACAATTGGAGATAGTTTTTTTTTGAAAATGAAATCTTTTGAAACAAAAAAAATGGCATTCAGCATAACATAAAACTTAAGAGTCAAATAAAACATGTTATATTGATTTTGAGATGCTGAATTTATTTTGAAGTCAGTAGCAGATTTTCAAGTTAAATACCCCTTCTTCTAAAAACATTTTTAAGTGGGGGAAAGAGATAACTCAGAAAGATGTCATGTTCAAATTGTGAGGATTCAAGTTTAGAACTCTTACTAGATAGAAATTCATTTTTCTTAACCAATGCATTGCTAAAATATTATTATTATTTTTAAATTTAGGTTTAATTTTTATTTTAAACAGAGTACATAAAACTTCTTTTCTAAATTTATTCACTATCGATAATTATTCTGTATAAATTTTCAGAATCTATTTCACCCCATTAAAAAAAAATGAAGACAACTTTAAAAAAGTCTAAATGCCACAAAAAAGTCCTACCACTTTTTTTTGCCAAACATTTATGGATTCTAAACAAAAACATTGAGTACTGAAACTGAACAATTAGAAGTCTCACACCTTTTACAGTGTGACTGGTTTATTCACAATAATTGCTTCAATTTCATTTTTTTTTTTCAATTTCATTTCATTTCAATGCAGGAATAAATTATTATGCAATACAATTGACCACAAACTTATTGTACCTGAAATCAGCACCTCAATATCCCAAATAAAAGTTTTGTTTGATATGAACATTAAGTTAGACTTGGTGTCAGGAAACTAATTTTAGAATTATTTACCAATATGTTCATCATCAAACTTCCAGTTTCATACTAATCTATCTCCAATTAACATAATTTTAAAAACTTACAACTAAATTACTAAATAATTAAACAACTAAATAATTTGAAAATATCTATTTTGCAGATTTATTTAAATTGGTGAAAAATCTTTTTATAATCTATCCTTTAAAAGAAGACAAGTGTTCTACAAAAATATTTTGAAAATCTAGAAGATTCAATTTCATTACAGCTTTTTATCATATTTTCTTATATATTAAATTTCTTAATATACTACTAAAATGTGAGCTATTTTGACACACAAAAAATGACAATATTAAATATTACGCTAGCAATCGTGGCTTCCCACAAGAAACTAAAACAAAAATGTTTGTTCAAGAGTAACATTTAGACTTGCATTATACACAATGAACAAATGGCAGTTTGCATGATTATAATAAAAGACACAAAATATTGACTGCAATTTTCTTCCCGCATTCGAGAATAAACATCTGAGCATCATTATCCTACTATACTATTAAGGCAAAGTTGATGATGGCAGGTTTATGAGCTGAAAATGGAAATGAAAAAAATGGCAGTTCTCTGCATTCACGACAGCTTATAAAAAAAATGATAATATATCTTGGATTGTGAGATAGTAGATTTGTTATTTATCAATAAATTAAAGAATGAATAAATTAACATGAAAATTTCATACTGTTTACTTAAAACAAAGCAGCACAGATAAAGTGGGTTTCAGGTTTAAAACACTAGAAGAAACAGACAGTAAAACCCATTTTAGCAGTTTTTAATGGGAAAAAAATGAAAAACTTTTTAAACAATAAATTTCTTTTAGAGGGAAAGCTTAGATATTTTTTTAAAAAACTCATAAATATACATTAAAAGGCTGATATGTATAAGTTGTTGTTACAATAATATGCAAAAAAACAAACGTATTTATTGAAACTTAGCTTAGATAGTACAGACTAACATAAATAAAAAAAGTAAATACTAAAACTAGTTGATTTAAATTATCCTCTCTCCTTCTTATAGCCTTGTATTGATACAAGGACTCGATTTCTCTATCCTTAACATGACACGTTTTTCTGAAGTTCAAAAAAAGTAATGGCAAAAACTAAATTGCCTAGAACTTTTTCCAAAAATCCTGAAGTTTTAGTCACAATGAATTTCATTACTTAAGATTTTTGAATTCTTTCATGCTGGGGATTTTCTTAGTTTTTAAAGGACAAATGGCAGTCTAAAAAACTTTTTAACTTTGAAGAAAAAGAAGTTTCTATAAAATCCTTAAGTACTTCAGAAATAGGGGACAAAATTGTGTAAAAGAATATGAAATAATCAAGCAAGAAAATCGTTTTAAATGGGTTTCACTGAACAGTGACCACCACTTATTAAAATCACATTCGTTCTGAGACATTTCATTAAGTAAAGTGGCTGACTTTATAAATTGGCATATCTAAACTCTGGAAGAAAAAGGTGCAAATTTAAATTTTACAAATACACTAAAAGCTAATTTATAATTATTGAAATATAAATACTATATTTATGTTTCATTTTCACCATTCTGGGGTGATTGTGAAACCAACTCAAAAATCCTGAAAATTTCTTGAGTAGAATCATTAATGACGCATTTCAAAAAATGAATGTCTTTATAAATTATATGCAGCATAATTTAACTGAATAATTATCTATAAGTCAACTTTTATATCTAATCACATTCATTATTCTACCAGAAAAAATATTTACAAATGAAAGAGACGCCTGTATAAATTCTAATATTTTTAAATAAAACACACAAGAATTTTTATCCATATATGTGATCGGTGATTTCTTGAAATTTCTGGACCTTGGATTTCCGGATCATGGTTAGCGAAAATTATACATTTTTTCCAGAGCACAATCATCTCTGACCATTTTAATGTACTTTTGACACCTAGATTAAACATGAGCTAAATTTTTTTAATTTGCTGAAAGGTTTTAAAAGATTTGAATATTGTTTGTCCGATATGCAGAATTTGAAATTAACAATTAGACATAGTTTTAAAGTTTATTTAAATTTTAATATTACGTCGAGTTTCAAGGTTTTATTCTAATTTATATAGAGCTAATTCTTGACACTCAAATCATGATTTTTACCTATGTTGGTAGCTAAAAAATTTTATTCAAAGCTGAACTATAATAAAATAAGAGCACTAAACAAAAACTGGTTTAAATTTATTTATCAATATTCTGACTTAATTGTTTTTGCTTGCTAAAATAATAAACAGTACGGATATTCCTTAGTTATATGATTAAATAAGAAAGACATTCTATTATCTGTTTTGTTTAACAGCTTTTTCAGCAAGGCTGTGTTTCCCTTAAAACTTTAATTGTAAAAGTAAATGCGTGACAGATGAGCAGCGACATTTAGAGATCATTGGAATTCTGTAACCTACCTTAATTCATAAGCAGTTTTATTTTTGTTCACTCATGTACTCTCCCCTTACCAGTTTTGGTCTTTTTTAAGGTTGATCCATCAATTTCTCCAAGAAGTGCAACCTACACCTGTACTTTCTTTTTTTCATAAATGATAGGCTCATACAGGGTTTCCGCTACGGTNAAAAAAGTGGAAATTTGACTCATCCTGGAACTTGAGTAGAGGAAAAGGGGAGGTATTTTTCTCCTTCTTTGTGGAAAGAAAACTACAATATTTCCTCTGTGACCCAGGGTTTCCGCTACGGTAGCTTTTTTCGCAAAATGCGAAAAGACCCCTCAAAAATGCTAAAATTCAACAAAACATTTTCGCATTTTTGCTAAAGGATTTTACTAAATTCCGTTAAAAAAAATGGGGATGATGTGAAAAATGTGAATGGGGATTATTTAAACACATCTTAATGCAACGATGTAAAAACATGTCATTTAATGAATTACTTTTATTTTTATATACCAATGATGTGTCTGAACAGTACCCATTAATAACTTCTGTTATAGAGTATTGTGCAACAATACCAATGCACACTGTTGACTGTGAAAGGGGCTTTAGCTGCCTTAATTTGATTAAAACTAATATTCGAAACAGGTTGTTAATCAACCATGTAAACAATTTGTTAATGATTAATATTGAGGGCCCTGAAAGTGCATTTAACTTTCAAGAAGCATTTGTAAAATGGGCAAACATGAAAGAAAGGAAGATTGTTAATTATAAACCAAAATGTTTTGATAAATAATAAATGTGTTTTTTTTTTTTTTTTGTTATAGGTATTCTTTTTGATATTCTTGTACATTAAGCTATTCTTTGTCAGATAACTTACAGTACTTGTTTGATATAAAGTAATTTTATAAGCCTAATGGCATTTTAGCATTTTGCTAAAACTTTTTTTCAGATTTTAGCTTTTTTGCTAATGAATTTTTAGACTCAGCTTAAACCCTGGGCTCATATTATTTTTTTTATCTACATGTTAAACAACTTTTAAAATTTGGCAGCTGTTAATTTTATAATCCAATGATTTTATTAGTGGTGGTCATTGTAAAACACAAAATGCCATTGAATTAAGGATAGCAAGTTCAGCTTACAGCTCCTGAAGCCCATATGGCAAATTGAGCATTGCCTTGTTTATTTACCACCTTTATGAATATCACTCTAATTCAGCAGGGTGGCAATTTGAACTTATGTTCAGAATGCCAGTCCGCAAAGTCAGTTAATGGATTGTGCAACACTCATTTAACGTTTGACCTTTGGGAACCATAGAACTAGTTTTTAACCTGCTATATCTAATTTAATCGCAATTCAGGGTATTAATTTTAACCTATTTTATTCTAAGTATTTTTAATACAAATAATTAATATTTTCAAAAATTAAAATACTAATAAAATAAGTTTTTCAATTTTAAAAACAAAATACCTAAAATTATTTTTTTTTAACTATGATATAAAGTTAGGGACTTTAATTTTCAGTAAAAGAAGAGAAATGTACTCTTCAAAAAATATATTTATAAATATATTTATAAATAGTTACAAACATCATTTTTTATGGAGTTTGATAATTTCTGAAACCATTAATCATATACAAGGTGGCCACTCAAATCAGGTTTCAAATTTTCCCAGATAAAATTCTTAAAATTTTAAGGTCAGCTCTTCTCATGAAGAGTAGGATGTGTACAAGAAAAATGTCAATATTGTAAAGTGTTTTATTTAAAATGTTATTTTTTTAATATATCATGTTGAAAAAATAATTACACTAAATTTATCTTAACAACTTAGCAAGATTTTTTCTTCTTCTTGTTTTAAATGCTTTGGTACAACATTAATTTTTAAAAAATTAAGACATATGGAGAAAATAATTAGACTAAATTTATTTTAACAACTTAGCAAGATTTTTTCTTCTTCTTGTTTTAAATGTTTTGGTACAACATTAATTTTTAAAAAATTAAGACATGTGGAGAAAATAATATGTTTAGCTTGGATGATACATTGTTTTTATTAAATAAAAAATGTTTTAAAGTGTTACTTTAAGTAGTTTTTGCACAAAGTGTACCAAATGGCAAATACAGAGTGTCCAAAAATACTTTGGATAAGTATTGTTTAATATATTTTCATTAAGCAATAAAAAAACAAAACAATTCTAGGCAATTATAAATCAATAAATATTTATATTCACAATAGCTTCCAAAAGTGTAAGTAAACTTATGACTTTTCGTGAAATAGGGCTCTATTCATTAATTAAAATGAATATTTCAGAATGGGTATTTAATAATAAGATGTATAATCTATTCTTAGCAAAACTGCATGGAATATTTTAAAAACAAAGGAAAAGTTTATTTTTCAGAAATTTCAGAATAAATTATTATATTCCACTGCTTTAATTTTTTATTTAAATACTTTTAATTTGGCGATAAATTTTCATTTAAAAAAAGTGGGTATAACAGATGATAAAATAATTTAAATTAAGAAAATTAGTAAAATTGAAAAAATAAAAAAAAATCCTTGTTCCTTGATTTTAGTAGGTTTTTATAGAAAATTTCACTGACTTTTTCAGTATAATTCCAGGTTTCAAGGTGGGTGGCCATCCTGATATGCTAATTTGTACCTACTTATGTTATTACAATAAACAATATAATTTAATGCAGTTCTGCATTATTATTAGAAAGATGTTTGCACAGATCAGCATAGAAGACACAGAAATTAAAAATATATTAAAATAATTAAAAGTCAATATTTTAATCTTAGAAATTTAAGCTAGTTTATAAATTTATCTTTACAGAAGATTTTGATTTGTATTGCTTAGACTCTCAATCAAAGATTAAAAATTAACATAAATCTATAATCTACGGGCAGATATAATTGTAAGTTACATAACATTACTAGACACTTTTTCACATTTCTAACATTTATTTTAACATCAAAGCACAATTTTAAAAAAAAATTCAAAATTTATAATATTTAAAAACTTTGTTTATAGGATAAATACACAAACAGTGTTGAACACAACCATTATAAAAATGCATTTTACTTCTAAAAATCAAAATATAAATAGATATCATACAATTTCAATAAATTCACTTCCTAAATTTAAAATTGGTTCTTTTATTTAAATGTCTGTAACAGGGCAATCACAATGAAAACTCATCATATATTGTAAATTATAAAAAATGTCACAATAGAAGTATACGTCACAATGGCATGATATCTGTTAAAAATAAAGTATGTATGTTTTAATTACCTTTGAGTGACATAAAATTTCATTTACACACATACTATAAAGTCAGAGTTGCAAAATATGTCCACAAATGTGATCACATTTAATGTGTATATTTCATAGTCAAAGAAGTGGCATTTCTTTAGAAATGCATATGTTTAAAAAATGTAACAAAAAAAAGTCACTTTGACTGAAACAGAAAGTAAACATACTGTACCAGTTAATTATCAAAGATAATCATTTAAAAGGAAATGTTAACTCTAAAACTAACATCAGATTAAAAGAAAAGAAAATCACAGTAAATGTAAAAGTAGTTCTAACACCATGCAACCAAATTATATCAAAGTCAATACTTTTAAGACATAAATACTTTCAAAATTTTAAATACAGTTTAACAAGTTAATTTAGGAAAGTTCAATTCAATCTTACGAAGTTAAAGGAATTTAAATTTAAGATAAAATTAGAAACAGAAAAAAAAATTTTTTTTTTTTTTAAGTGAATACATCATCATAATGTTGCTCCATAAGAAAAAATTTCACTAAAATAGATAATCCCTAATTTTTAGAAACCTTAAGAACATTATGCAAGTCTGGTACAAAAAAAAAAGAAAGAAAAAAAAGAAAGAAAATTTTACAATTCAAGAAATAGTTTCAGCAATAAAGTGAAAGAGCTATGGTATAAAAACGCTAGATATTCCAAATGCTATGATGACCATAAAAGACAGTTCTTGTTTTCAATCTCATCTCTAATCTGATTAAGTTGGTGCATTGTGTGATACACTACAGATGCACTAATCAGACCATAGTCAAAAAGATTGCACAAGTGTAGCAAAAAATTACGATACAGCCTCTGGGTAACTATCTTCAAACCATGTTCTTCAATGAACATAGAGCAAGCAAGAGGAATTTGACAATCACCCACAAATCTAGAAGAAAAAAATATTAATTTAGATTTAAATAATAGAATTTAGAATCTATATTATATATTGATAAAATCTAAAATGCAGGCATGTACCAAACACAATTAATCCAAATAAATTATGCAAAATCTTTCGAATATTACATTTAAGACCAATAGTAAACACTTGCCTAATAAATAAATAAAATAAATAATCAAATAAATAATTAAAGTAATTAATTATAAATAAATAATTTTTAAATAAACGAATTAAAAAAAACTAACCTAATTTTATCAAAGTCAAATAATTGTGTAGGAATATTTAATAGTGATAAGACAAGGCATAATCTATATTTCTCATTAATAGATGTATATCATTTAATCTTTTTTCAAAAATCCTTGATTTGGTTAAATTGATTTTTCTTAAAAAAAAAATCATTGATTTATGTCAAAAATATTTTTAAGGTCTGATTTCATTGCTATTGATGGCTTTATCCAGTGACATAATACATAAATTATTATTCAATGTTTAAAATTGACTTCGAAAAAAAAAATTATATATATATTAAATGTGGGAAAAAAGTAACTAGAACTTTAAAATCATAATTATTATAACTGTAGTTGTTTAATTTACAGATTTTAATTATATCCATTCAGTTTTAGGCCAAATACTAGTACTTGTAAAATTTATTAAATACATAGTTTATTTATACAAATAATGAAAAAAGACTTAATCTGCCAAAATTAATCAGAATTACTGCTGATTTTGTTTTCATGCATGTTTCCCGATATGTAAATTAATTTATTCTTTATTTGAAATCTAACTGATAAATCGGATCTTTTTTTTTTTACAAATTCATGAAAGAATTGAGCTTGAATAAAAACTATGATTTTCTTTAATTCAGTGAATAGCTAGTAAGAATAATAAAATAATTTTAATCATTTTTGTTTGAAATATTAAGTATTGCTAATAAATTTTATCAGAACTTTAAATGATAAATACAGAAAATAAAAATATGATTTTTCTTTAAAAACTATCATTTCTGCAACGGTATATAGTGTATCAACTTTAAAGTGAATTTACTCAAATTTCTTAAAATTCCACAGAAAATTTTCCTCCTCTCAACTTTTCAACTATCAGAAAAATTAAACCTTAATTCTTCTTGAAAGTGATTTAAAGTAATAAAAATGAGCAAAAGTCTTATTTTTAAAACAAATTAATTGAAAAATGTTATACATGAATTTAAAATAAAACAATAAAAAAATTTAATATGAAAAAGTTGATAAAAAATTGTGAGAAATACAGATTGGTTTTTTCATACCCATATTTCATAACATGAAGGTTCCACATTTTCATCAGTTCTTTTTCTCCTTCATTGACATCAGTAAATTCATCAATCATCTTTAAATATAAGAAATGCCAAGTAAATAAAAATAAATAATTATATAGATTCAAAAGTTAAACTTGATTTAATGAGGAAAATATTCTTACGTGTTGAGTTTTAATCCTAAGCCAGGTTGGATCATTTTCAGATTCTGAGTCAATATCTATTTCTTGAGGTCTTACAGATAGGCATGTAACTGTATGGTAATACAATCTGGAGGGAAAAAAATGCAAAGTAGTTAAATATCTATCTAAAAACGAAAGGTAATTAGTTTTACAAACATTTATACATATATTCAATGGCTCCTAAAAAGTGTTTGTACAATTATGACTTTCAATGAAATAGGGCTCAATTCATTAGTTAAAATGAATATTTCAGAATAGGTATTTAATAATAAGATCTACAATCTATTTTTAACAAAACTGCATGTAATATTTAAAAAAAAAAGAAAAGTTTTTGCTTGCTAGCTGCAAAATATTTTTTCCCCATCATTCAAAAATGGTTCGTATTTGTAAAAATAATAATAATAAATAAAAAAATTTGAAAAAAAAAAGACAAAATTTAAAAGTTGGCTATTTGCCATCATTAGTGGTAAATCAGTAATGAATGTTGCTAAAATAGTTTATTTTTTCCAACTGAACTGTGCAGTATGCGATAAAAGGCTTGAAAGAAAGAATTTAAATCAGTCTGATCACAGATTAAAATTACAAAATTTGCGATAAAAGTCATAAAAATTTTATCCGTGTTGTAAACGTTTCCATTGAATTTAATAAAAAATATTCTTGTTCAATTTTACCTGAAATTCTTCGACGAATTTTGCGAGCAGCTAGATTAAATGTGCGTTCTGCCTCCATAAAGTGTTTAGTTTTACGAAAAACAGAAACATCACATTTTACTTAGCAAAATGAATGATAAATAAATCCCAAATGCATCTAGAATGTCTTATTCGTGGATGAAACCAAATTTAACCCATTGGGCTTCAATGAATTGGATGGAGCAGAAAAAATTAGGAACTTTATTCCAAGGATTCAGTTTGGACAGTTAGGCAACGGTGGTGGTTTCCTTGTGTGTTGGTGCATGTCAACATCAAAATAAGATATATTTATTGATGGCATAATGAACCAACCTTTTTATTTAAATATTTTAACATACAATTTATAATTATCAGCTGGAAATTTGGGTATTGGAAACAACTTTGTTTTATATCTAGATAACTATAATTAGTATGCGTCTTTCGATGTTCGCATATGATGTCCGGATTGACCACAAGTTTTGTAAGTAAAATTGACCACAAGTTTTTAACACACTGCCTCAATTTATATATTTAAACTCAATAAAATATATTTGAAGAGAACTGAACGTTAGAGAATGATAACATGATATTAAAACAAAAAAAGTAACTAAAAACTAAAATGGTGACAGAAAAGATGAGTTTTGATGCAGAAACTACAAAAAAATAGTTACATTTATTTACAGAGTTTTAAAAGCTAATGAGGATTCCAAATTATACTCTACTAAATGTAAATTTAACGAAAAATTAGGATATTTACTAATGGGGGGAAATTTTTTAAAAGTGTACAATGACTTTTGTGAGATGAAGTTTTGGTTACTTGGTTAGTTTCGATTACAGATTTCCTAAAAATAAACTTTCACTTTGTCTTTAAAATATTCCATGCAGTTATGCTCAAAACAGAGTAGATATATTTTTATTAAATATCCATCCTGAAATATTAATTTTAATTGATGTATACAATACTATTTTATTTAAAGTCATAAGTGTACAAACACTGTTGAGAGCATATATTTATACAAATATGTGTGTGTGTGTATTAATATGGAAAACATTGTTTTTGTTACTAAACAAAAACAAAAGTGTAGAAATAAAAGAAATTTTTTTATATAAATTACAGTACTATTTACGAAAAGTTATAATTTGACAGACAAGGCCAAGTAACAAAATAAAAGCATGCAAAAGAGCAGAAAAGAGTTTTTAAATTCATACAATTTTAATATTTTGATACAAATGAGCAGCACTTAAATATTTTACCTTGTTAAAAAAATTATTATTTTCGTTTATGTTTCGTCGTTCACTGCTTAGCACATATTTTTCTTCTGAAGATATTTCAGAATTCAAGCTATTTGTAGCCACTGACAAACATCAAAACACCACTTTGGCCAGTTTAGAATATTGTTATCTTAGATTTTTATAACCGGATTACTTTAATCTCCCTAAACACCTAATTCAGTAACTAATGCTTTATATTTGTAGGTTAGTTTGTCAGTAACTATTAGGATACATTTAAAAATGTTATTTTGCTTTTGATCTATTTTCATAAATGTTTTATCAACCCATTAGGTTGATAAAACATTTATTAGAACAGATCAACGAAAGGATCTTAGCTTTTAAATAGTATTAATTTCTGGTAAAGTGTAAGTTAAACATTTATTTCTTGCTCAAAAAATATCCCTTTAAAAAATTTGTTTACTCAATAAAAAAAACCACATTTAAACATTTGCAGAAATTATTGTAAAACTCTGCCTTGTCAAACTTGGAACCTTACCAAAAAAAAAAAAATAATGATAATAATAAATTTGTATTGTTTAAGTATGTGAAAAATGATAACTTTTATATAATAAAAAATAATCTTTATGGTCTTAAGTTATGTCCAGCTAAGAAATGGTAATTGTTTAGTGCAGATGACATAAAAAAATTAGACACAAATACATCATAAGATTAGACACAAAAGCATATTCTTCTAATTAAACATTTTAATTTTGGAGCCCGTAAATATGGTTAGTTAAAATCATTATAGAAATTAAAAAATTCATTACCTTAGTGAAGAATAAATGTTTTAACTAAGAAAATTTTACATTAAAAAAAAAAAAACTAAATTAGTCATAATAAAAACATTTTTAACCTGGCAGTTTTCAATGAAGGCTAACATATAAATATCTTTAATAGAAACAAAAAAGATAAATAGTAAGCTAAATTTGTCAACCTGTTATGGCCAGAAATATATGAGCGATGACCATCAGGCTCAATATCTTCTGCTTCAAGAAACTCAGACAGACTTGGTGCAGGTCTTTTAGGACTAAAAGATACACACTTTGTACTTAGTTCAGAATTCAAACAACAAAAATAATTAAGAAATAGAAATAGAATTATAAACTCACCGACACACAATTACATGAGTAACTGGATTTCTCCTTGCTGGACCTGTTCTGCTAAAGGCAAAACCAGTGGAGTGAAGGTCATTTGGATTTCCAACATAAGAACCATCGTAGGATTCATTGATAGAGACATCAATACGAGCTCCTCGTGAATGTGGCTAATAAAATACATAGATAAATTTAGCAATACAAATATATATTACAGGGTGACAATGAATAACTTAGACACATGATAAAAAATATCACAATCAAACTAAACATAAGACATTATTACTCGTAACATATTCAACCATTATTAAAGTGATTACCTTTGGGTTAAATATAGAACTAAAAACGAGTAAAAAAAATTTCTGCATTAAAATGTAAGTCACTTACCATTATTTTGACATATTTCTTCGAAAGAATATTTATAGGGATACCAAAATTTTAACAGGCTTTGTACAAATCGTAGTTTACAAGATGAATCAAGCATAAAAATCTATTCTTGGTTTTAAGTCTAATGAATAAGGTGAGCATTCTGGTGCTGAATTCAAGAAAATGTGCCTTACACAATTTTTGAATGCTAAGACTGCATAATAGATAACACAATTAACTTTGATTTTTCCAATAATTGGAACATTTGCTTGGCTCAATATTTAACTTTTAAAACTTTAGTGATCGGTATAAGTATTTAGCTTTACCAATTATTTAGAATAACTCATTCATGCCATACCACCCTTACTAATTATGTAGTAAAAGTAAAAAGATACGAAACTCTCTGTCTCACTATTGTGTCAGTTTTAAAGTGTAGTCAAGTGTATCAAAAAAATCATAATCATGTTTTTAAGTTGCAATAAACAAGTATTTAGACCCAAATGCATCATAAGATATTTTATATGCATTAACTAAAGAATCATAAAATGAAATTCAAGAAAATAGGCATTTACCTTTCACTAACTAGCAAAAAAAGTTAGAGTATTCATTTATTAGTTTATTCTAAAAGAATAATAACCAAGAAAACACTATAAAAAACAAAGTAAAACAAAAAAGTACTTAAGGAATTAAATTTATAAAAAAAAGATATAGATTTTTAAATGTATTTTTGCACTACCTAAAGCATACAAAATTTAACAAATAAAGTTAAAAAAATAATGAAAATTAAATAAATTCTGGTATAAATAATTGTAATATAAAATTCAAAAAAATTTCATATGAAGTGCTTACCACATAATTAGGATTAAATTTACTATGATTTAATAAAATCTGGAATAAAAAAAATAATTAATTCTGGTGTAAATAATTGCAATGTAAAATTAACAAAATTAATTTGAAGAAGTACTTACCACATAATTAAAATTAAAACGACTATGACATAGTTTTAGATGCTTCAATAAACAATACAGCTCCATGCAATTTACTCGACACCAAGGACATTGAAAATCATCCCTAGCTTCAGTTTGTTGTCTGGTATTGTTATTATATAAAAACTGATAATAAACTCTAGTCTTTTTGCCTCTTTCTTGCAATACAGATTCTTGCTTTAAACCTGCAAATTAAACATGTTATTTAATTTTTTTAAAAAAATAATAAGTTTCTCAACTCTATAGGTTGAGAAAAAAAAAGCAAAATTAAAATAGAATTTATAAAATTTTTTTTCTTTTTTTTCTGCTATACAAGTTATTACAGTTTGTGACTAAGTTCTACATTCAGGCAAAAGAGTAATAAAGGGGGGGGGGAAGGTTTAAAATACTTATAAAATAAATCATGTAAAAATTGTCTGACATTATTTTGCACAAAAAGAAAACATTTAAATTATTTACATACTAATTAAATTTTTTTTAGTATGTGCTTTCATTAGCAGTCTAACCAACTGTTAAGTTTTATATATAAATCAGGGTTAAAGAGAATAAGATAATAATAAAGTATAACAATAAAATAATGTAGAAATATTCTTTTATTATTTTCCCTTTTCTCAAGTTTAGAAAATTGGAAATTCAGCCAAAAGTGGGAACAATCTTACACCTGTAACTTATGATATTTTTGTTAAATGTTGCTTCATAGGATGAAAAATACCAAATTTAATACTATAAAAGAATTAACAGCAAGTGTACAAATTTATTTTTAATAGATGAACAGAGCAAATAAGTATTTTAAGACTGTTCAAATTATCCAGAAATAATGGAATGTCCAATAAGATTAATTTAGTAAACAAAAATAAAATTATTAGATAAAAATAAAATTATTGGATAAAAATAAATTATATAAATATAAAAGTTATAAATAATTTTAAACTTTAGGGCATCAAAAATTTACACAGAACACTCATTTACACCCCTTTAAAAAAAGATTCTCAGAATTAAACAAAACATATTTAATTTAAACTATGTAGCTTATACAATAAGTTTTTCCATAAAAGAAATTAAGAAGAGATCTTTTCAGAAACTTAACCTACTGCTTAAGCCATCAAGATTAAGTAGATCATCCGGTCGAGCTGATGGTAGGGGTCTATCTACCATTCCTGAAACTAAATTATCCTTCCATTGTAGATGGAATGTAACCAAAGGACCTTTGCCAAATACATCTACAAGATTTAATGTCTGAAAATAAAATTGTTTAAGATGTTACAAATCTATTGATATAAGCAAGTTTCAAATTGTTAGTTTAGTAGCCCATATAATGATAACACTGTTATAACTGGGCAAGGTAAAATTGTTGATAGGGTATTTATATATATTTTGAAATGTAGTTAAAAATAAAGTAAAAGAAATAAACACATTAAGGGTAGTTAAAATTGATATTTAAATGAGAGAGAAATCAAAATGTTTTCCAATCACTAATGAGGAAAATAGGATGAAAACATCAAAACCAGTTTAATTATCTGATGAAATCAAAATGAGTTTCGAATAATCACCCTTCAACTTTTCTACTCCCTTTAGCAATTAAATAGATTTTTAGTCTTCCCTTCCTTACTTGAGATTCAATGTATTTTGATAGCAATTGTTTTTTAATTGCTTAAATGATGTATTGATTGTTTTTTAATTGCTTAAATCTATCACCCCTAATGTGTATGTTTCTTTCAGTTCATTTTAGAGATGATTTCTAAAAATATATATTAAAGGCAGTCATTACTGAACACACTACATTTATATGATTTTTTAGATTTTTCTTCCAATTTCTTACATTAACAAAAAGCCAATATATTACAGCTAGTATGACTAGTTTATAAATAATAACTAATTTTACCTTATCTTTACTATCAGGAAATGTTTCCCATGAAGATAGCTTCTTGGGTGACGATTTTTGCCCTAGTTCTTGCAACACTAGTTGGTACTCACCATCTGTGAGTAAACATCTTTGATGCTTGTCATAGACAACTAGTTCAGCACCATAAATTCTAACCTCCTCTGACTGATTTTTTAAGCTTTTTCTCTTCTTCTGAGCAGGCTCATCTGCTAAAATTTCAAAAACACAATATCGCAATATAAAAAACAGAAATAAAAAAGCAAAAAGGCAAGCAAACCATTCAGTAACTAATAAACAAATATCATCTGCAGCAAGTATAAGAAAAAAATATATCTTTTTAATACATATATATATAAAATAAATAATACAGATAAAAAAATTTAATATACATATAAATTTATTAATGTTTATAGAATCAGGGTCGATCCCCATTGGTGGCTTGGGGGCCACCCAGCTTCAGATCAATGGCTACCAGCTTGCCTGGAAAATAAAGACTGCTTGAACACAATGCTGACCACATTGCCCCAATCATACCGCACGTCATGAAATTGTGAAGCTTTAACCTTTTTCACCCCTTGACCCTTAACAGGCTGTTGCGGGATGTGCTCATATTAGTTGCAAATTACTGTCTATTTCGTCAATTTTTTTTTTTTGCATCTATAGTTTCATTATTCAAAATTTTAAATTTAATTTTAACTTATAACTTAGAAATTATTTTTGACTTAGTTTTAGCCTTTTTATAAAACTAATTACAACAAACTACAATTTGAAAAACAACATATATGCTTTACAAGCATAGACATTTGCTACAACAATTTTTTATTTTTGTTGTATAACTGGAAATAATCTAATGAGAAATAAGTCTTTAAAAAACTTGGATTTTCTAATTTGACATAATTTTCATTAATTCTTCATATTCTAATAATAACCCTATTTAATTTGCTATATAAAAAATTCGACACTGTAAAACGACAATCAGTTAAGATATAAAACTATATTAAGATATAACAATAGCTTCTTGGAATCTATAAACAAAGCATGGTCTTACAGATAAATAGGTATTTCAAGGTTTTTAAAATTATCTTAGGAAAATTCAATATATTTAAATCTTAAGAGAAAGTAAAAATAGGTTAATTATATTACTTTGTTGAAAGAGGTGTAAAAATAAATGACTCTTCAAACTTTGTAAACTTGTCTTAAAACTTAACTTGTAACAAGCCTCAAAATTATGTTTTTTTCCCCAGTGAGCATGCTTTTACAAAGTTAGGTTCGATTCTATTCGAACCAGCCCTAGTTTGCAAGAGCATAACCAATAGAGGTTACAAGTAGTGGCAAATTAGCCCAGAGAGGGTATTCTGTCTAATATCTGGTAAAAGGCTTTGTTGGTGTGTTCATTACAAAATGTTTTCCAGAGATATTGCTATTACTTAATTTACAACCCTCACAGAATATTAGAATTTGATTTCAGTCATTATCAACAGTTAAAAAAATTACTTATTAAAACAAAAAAGTTATGGTACTAAAATGGGATCATAAAAATTTTTAAGATTTAAAGAATAGGCATTGCAAATAACAGGGTTCCCACTGAATTCAGGAAAAAAAAAAAATCCCTGATTTTTCCCGGTATCTTAGGAAAATTTCAATGAAAATCTAAACCATATTTTCTCTAAACCATGCAATTTTTCATCAGGCAACTTTGATTTTTTATTTGTAATGTCAAATACTAGATCTTGTGAGTAAAGAAATACCACTGAATGATGATAGAATCGTGAAAGTTTAACTAAAATGTGAAATTTTTATAACAAATAATTGTAATAGATGTTAGAATTATTTAACTTGAATCTCAATAACTGTTTACTGTTATTGACAATTCTGAGATGGGTTACTTTCCAGGTATAATGTAGGAGTTTTGCAGGTATTCTTTTTTTTTTTTTTTAAATTGTAATATTCCCCTGCTTTTAAGAATCAAAATAAAATTTCAATTCCAGGTTTTCCCTGACTTGTGGAAGATCTGAAATAAAGTATTTTTTTACTTACTGACATCTGAAATATCTCCATTGCAAAATCCATTTAGCTTCATTCGGTTAACTGGACATGTGACACGCAATAAAAGAACATATGACTTGACTAGATTACCATTGCTTATATTAAAATTATCATTTGGTACAGATATGGCAGTGACTTTAGCAGGAGGATTGTTCATATCAGGATTTCTATGCACTTCACATTTCCCTACTATTTGAAAAAAAAATCTTAACAATATACACACAGTTTTGTAAATTTTTATTAATAATACAAAGAATTTCTTTAAAATGATAATTAGACACAGTGAAGAATTTAAAATAAAATGTATAGTATAATAAAAATAGTATTACGTAAATAACAAAATAGCACAGCATTTTCTATCCATGACCTTCATTTTGAATACTTTTTACTGATCTACAAATTTTTTTTACTAAAACTTTGTAATTAACTATGTACAAAAAACTTTCTATATTCATAAGTAAGTATTTATTTATTATGATACTAATTCTAACATTTATTTAATTAAATTTTTTTTTTTTTTACATTTTCAAGTGTAACTTAACTAGATGTTACCGAAACATAATTAATATGTGTCACCAAAAAATGGCAGGGAGCGCATATCATCTATTTGAGAGCAATATTTGACTCATGAGATGCAGATTGCGCGTTTTTCCATAAAAGAAAGGAGCTGAGATAGCTATGTGGTTATCTAACTTAGCTTTCAATGTGAAGTTAGCTTGAAGTTTGTCTGGCTTCAGATTGATACATACTAGCTTGCCTAGAAAGTAAAGACTGCTTGTGTGCAATGTTGACCATATTGCTACAATCATACTGTTCGACACAAAATTCTGGAGCCCTAACTTCCATGACCCGCAGGGTCCACAACGATTGTTGCAAGTACGCTTTACTTTTACTTAATAAGTAAAATAAGAAATCAGAATTTAAACTGATAAAAGTTATTTTATAACTTATCAATTTAACTTAGCTTGAATCAATGAAAAATAAATTTAGCAATTCTAACATTATATTACGAAGTAATGGAAAATAGAAAAGTATCATATGCAAATTTTTGTCAAATGACTTATCAATTTATGAATCTAATGAATATTTTGAATGTATTTTAGGAAAGTCTAGCCTTGACTTTAAAAACGAAATTTAAAAAAAAAATTAGTATTACATATGAATGTCAAAAACTAAATAAAAAAAACATGAAAGAAATATTACCTGACATTTGAATAGCTGGGGAGGAAACGTCTTTCCTCTTTTTGTGACATATTTTAGAGAGAGAGGCTTCTACACATACCGTATCTCCAGATCCTTCAAGAATTTGGAAAAAAGGGCATTAATATCAAATAAAAAGTAAAAATATCTTTGCTAGGGTTTACACAAAATACAGAACAGTGAACGAAATTAACACAAAACTAAATATGCATGTTTTTGTAGTTTAAAATTACATAAAAATGGGGTGTAATATTTTTATCAGGTGGCTAAAAATTATACATATAACATTACATTTGAAAGTTGTACTCTTTTGTGTGTTTTTACTTTACTTAGTGTTTTAGATTAAAAAAATATTACAATTGTTATTAATTATTAATATTATAATAATATTAATAAATATTAATATTATAATGTGTTGTATTATAAAAGTTTAAAGAATTTATTATTTTTCTCCCTAACTCTATTCTATGTTATATAATGCAAGCTCAACAGCTATGAGTGCTTCACAGTAATCCTGTGGGGAACTGCAGCTATAATATGAACCCTATCAGCCACAAGAACATTCTGATACATTAAAACCATATGATAAATAGTTTTGTTAAATGGATAACACTTAAAAAAAAAAATCATATAAATAAAATACAATTGTGGCAATATTAAATATTTTCTTTTAGTCAATCAAAGGTCTAAGAGTTTCTCTTTTCTTTTAAGCTATTACCTTTCCTTGTTTTTTCAAACACATTTAAATCAAAAATAGATACCGTACATTCCGGCGTATAACGCGCACTTTTAATACAAAAAATAACATTGGATTGTACGGGTGCGCGGTATACGCCGAATATAAAAAATTATAGATTAAAAAAATTTAAATATAGAAAAATACTTTTATTTTAATGAAATAACATACCTTTACCCATATACTTTATTGATTTTCGTTATTACATAAATAGTTCATTATATTCGTCTTCCATTATTTCTTCAGGCACGTCATCACAATGTTTCGTCTTCATCATCTGTGTTACCCTCATCCATACATAAATAGTCATCTTCTGATCCGTCCAGATTATTTGAAATGCTGCATTTTTTTAATGATTTTCTGACTATCTCAGGCTTAATGTCATCCCGTGCTTTTAATATCCATTCGCACACTGTTTCCAAACTTGCATGGCGCATATGTCCTCCTCTCTTAAAGGTTTTCTCGCCCTCCAACATCCAAGAGTTCCACTGTTTTTTTTTTAAAATTGGCTTTAAATGGTTTGTTTAAGCAGACGTCCAATGACTGAAGAAATTATGTCTATCCGCCCGGAATAACTACCATATCGGTGTTACATTCTTTCGTATTATCTGTAAGGTGGGACCAAAACATGTCCCACACTAAAAGGCTTTCTGGTTTTCTATAGATACTAGACGAGATACAATCCAAATTTACAATCCAAATTTTCGTGCGCGTTATACGAAGAGTATATCTTAAAATTTTAAAAAAGTTATTAGAAATTACAGGTGCACATTATACGCCGGGGTGCGTTATGCACCGGAATGTACGGTAAATGATACTGAAATACATTTTACCTGAAGACATTTTATAAGTATTTTCAAATACCTTGATAAATTATAAAATTTTGCTGTCAAATATAACATTTCAGAAAAATGTAATTCTCAATNGTATTTTTTAAAAAAAAAAAATCTATCTTAAAGTTAATGCTTACTACACATAAAAAGAAGTTTAGCAGAGGAATTTCTGTATAATTTTACCTAGGGGCTTAACATTTGGAGTGTTTGACAGAAATGTCTTTTTATGAGAGTTTTGTTTTTTAGCAACTTCATTTGAAAATAAGATTTTTAAAATAAATACAGCAAAAGAATAATAAAAAGAAACCTTAATCATAACAAAATCACAAGTGCTATCTCTGAACTTGATAATTTTATTTTTTGATATACAAGCTCTTTTAATTTTAAGATTGAGGATAAAGTATACTTTAGTGCTTCTGAGCAGAATTATATTTAACGTTCTGCTAATAGAAGTTTTGGGAACATTGTAAAAAAAAGATAAACAACCAACACCTATAATTTATTACCATTTTTTTAAATGAAAATTTTATTTGGAAAATTAAAATTAAAAAAGTAACCTTTAATAGTTAAATATCAAATTATGAATAAATGCCTTCAAGTTAAAAACAACATAATTATTAACAGCAGAGACTTCGTTTTACTTTAGAGCTTTTGTGTGTAGTAGGTTAACAGATCTTAGATGGACATCTAAAATCATGAAGATAGAGGAGAAAATACAATGCATAAAGTAAATAAATTACAAAAAAAAAAAACAAAAACATTTACTACTAATGAACTACTTTACAAATTATCGAAGATTTTTTTAAAAAAATTTGAAACAGAATGAATCCACTAAAAAAAATATATATTTTTTTTTTCTCCAGAGATTTGCACCACAATAAAAAGATTAAATCTTACAAAAAAAGGAATAGTAGAGTAAATATTAAAATTTTTTTTAAATGTAATATCAACTTTTATAATAAAAAAAGAAAATAGAGAGTCCCATAGAAATAGTTGATAAAAACATTTTCTTTAAAAAGTGGGAATAGTAGAAATCAAAATTTACCTTTATACATTTTATCATAGTAGCCAGTAAATGTTATTATTAAATGACCAGATGGCCTAAAAAGAAATAAAAATAATTAACCACAAAATTTATTTTATTTAGCAATAATGCAGCAAACATAAACAGCACAAAATTAGTATATATGAAAAGGGAATATTAAGTAAAATAAGTAATAATGAAATGGATTCATTAAATTAGATTATTTTATAAGGATAATACAGAAGTCTAAATTAACCTAACCTAATAAAAAACATTGAAACATATAAAGAATTAGGTCTTTCCTGAATTGCAATTAAAATTAAAATACTTTTGCTTCATATTTTCTTGAGACATTAAGAAAAAATTTCTTAAGATTTTCTAAGGTACACAATATTTTTATCTGAAACAATATTAAGCTTTAAAATGCTTAAATAAAATTTAAATATAGTTGCCAAGAACATTTTGACAGTATATTAAAATATTGTAACAAAATGGAAAAAAAAAAAAACTTTATTAACATATCGCATCCTGGCAAGAAAAGTGACACAGTAAAAAAAACAGCAATTTTTGAGATTATGTCAATAAAAAATAAGTATTAAGTGTTCCCTCAAGCTCAAAAAATGTCACATCTCTAACTCGCAACTTATCCAGCTGAGGGCAGTTGTATCTAATTCAGAATAATGTTAAAAGTATTCTTTAAGTTGATTTTTCTCCAATGCTGCACTTTTAGAGTTATGACACTGTTCTTGCCGGGGTGCGATATGTAACAAACTAGGATAGATGCTATTGTAATGCAAAATAAAATACTAGTAAAACACTTTTTAATTTCAGAAAGGTTATAGTTTTCAAACAAATTTCATAAATTTAGTGTTTTAAATATATTTTAAAGTTCTGATATTTTAACTAAAGTCAAAATAAAAATTTTTTTAAAATCATAATACAAACACAATTCATTACAAAACAGACAAAGAAATTAATTTATCTAGGAATCTTTTTATTCACTTATAACTTTATTGGAGGCTAAATTTTGAACGATAGAATTCATATGAAAATACACCAAAACGTGAAAACTAAAGAATTTTATATCAATGGCTACAAAAGCCAATTTTAACTTTTAAATCAATTATCCATTACCTATTCTCACAGAAAAATAAAATATGGAAATCAATATAATAATTTATTTTAAAATATTTCTATACCATTAAACAAAAAATAAGCAAAATAAATTTAATTTTTTCAAAATTTATTTTAAATTCAAGATTTACTTATATTTGTTTTTATATATGACTATAACAAAAATAAATTAATTACTTTTTAATGTCAAATTTTAGTTTTATAGCAGTACAATTTTTCCGAAACCTTTTTATAAAAGGGTTGTATTTTCAAGCAACATTTAATTTATTTATTTCGTTAATTGAACTCAACAAAACCTTTATAATACATATTGGTACCATAATAGGTGTTAAATTAAAGAAGCTGAGTTACAAAAATTACACTCAAACAGAATAGTTCTTAATAAATAAACAATTAGATCAGATCTAGAGCATGATGAAAAAGGGCAAAAAACACTGTGAATACTAGTGGCTTAAAGGCAATTTTTTATTTCTCTTGAAAAGTGATTTACTATGAATTTATTAAAATTTAATACACACCTTTCAGATGCAAGAGCTCTGTGCCGGGCAGTTACTCTTTCTAAAATGCTGTCAACCTTAAAGAATTTCCTGAAAACAAATTAATTGGTTTAAAATGTGATTAAAACAAGAATTGGTAGACATTAAAAAAAAAATTGTTATTGCTACCATACCCTATAGTTAAAGCCTTCATATTAATAAAAGTTACGCCTGATTTAGTGCAAAACAAGATAGATAAAAGTATTTTTTAAGGCTCAAAGCATTCTTATCATTTTAAATTAAAATTAAGATAACATACTTTTTTTAAAAAAAATCTAGCAATATTCAAATTATTCTCATTTTTATCAATTTATATTTTGAATAAAATCTGTGATTTCAAATTTTTTTGCAACAGCTTTTAAAATGTATCTTAATATTTCATTCAACTATGAAAGCTTATAAATAATAATACATAAAATATATTTCTCTTGTTACATAAGAAATTAATAATTATAATAAAGGGAATAGACTGCTTTGCAGTATTCAAACATTTAAAAGTCTTACAAAATTTTGGGCAACAGTAGTGTAGAATACAAAAAATAAAAAACTTTTGTGACATTTTTAAGAATTAAAGCTATAAGTTCTTATTTATTTACTTATTATTAAAAATAACTAATGGAATATATACCTTTTAGCATGAGTTCTTGACATTCGATGTTTCATATAAGACAAGCATCTTTGAAGGAACAAGGGCTAAACAATAAATAATGTATTAACCTTAAGCATGTTAAGGTAAATAATTTTCAGCAAAAAGTATTTTTTAAAAAAAAAAAATCTATCTTAAAGTTAATGCTTACTACACATAAAGCAAAAAATACATTTACACTAAGAACAAAGCAAAGCATTTACATAGGTAAAACACAACATAGTCTCAAATCAAAACTTTAATTACTTGATATTTTAAAAAATTAATTTGAATCTAAGTTTAAACACAATGTTTAAAATAATTTATTATACTTTTAAAGAGTTTAAACATCGAAAAAAAAAAAAAAATAAGGAGGGAAATAATACAATAATTTTTAGTATCGTAATCAAGCATCAATTCACACACTCAATAAAAGAAATTATAAATAAAAAAATAAATAAATTGCAATCATTTTTTTTCTAAGTGATACAAATATGCACAAGTTTAACATTGCTTGCTTTTCTATACCGAATTTGTCCTAAATGATTTTTTTTCCCTGTCAATATATGAAATGTCATGCTTTGGAACTTAGTTATTTTAATGCAATGAATTTAGCAAAATAATTTATGTTATTAGTTAATATCATATATTTAAAAAAAAAAAGAATCGTTATTTGATATAAAAAAAATCAAGAATAAGAATGTAAAGCTTTAGCTGTTGCAAAGAATTTACTAGTGAACTTACAGAATTTATTTGGCGTGTTCCCAGAAATCTGTAAATTTGTGTAGGTTCTGCAAAAACACAAAAGTAATTAGGACACTTTAAAATAAAATAAACAAAATGTAAGCATGAATATAATTATAATCAATTGGGAAAAGATGGATATCCAATTTCCAAACATCCATTTGCATGATGTGTACTGAAACCAAAGCTGGAAATCTTTGGAAGCGCATTTGGTAAAGATGTTGTCTACTTCGCTGGTGGAGAGCCAGAAGTATGTGTTCGATTTTAGTAGCCCACTAAACAACCAGCCTGCATACGCAGAAAGGGGTGCGTTAACTCTGTAGTGGTTGAAAATCCTCTCATTGATTGTAGTGGAAAAGTTTAGAGAGAGAGGTGTATTAGTTAAGAGGCTGACTGATATTTGATTAGGGTCAAAACAGTCCATGACATTTTGGACCTGATATTTGGTCACCTTTCCATTTCGATCCATTCCCGGTTCAGCCGTTATCAATTCTATCGTCTATTTTGTTATAGATATTCCATATTTCTTTTTATTACAATGGTCATGCTTCAAAAGTCTCAAATTTAAGTTTTTTAGTTAATTAAATTTTTTTTCTGACCTAAAAGTTAAATAAAATGTAACCTGACTTGCTTTTTCTTCTTTCTCTTTTATTTTGTTCACAAGTGCTCATCTTTTCTTTCCGTTTTCCTTTTCATTTATCTATTTATTTTTGTATTTAGAGCCATTGAAAACTATATGTAATATATTAATACATAATTTTTTATGAGTGTGAAGTTTGGTAAACAAATAAAGATTGCTGTGCTAACCCTGCAATGCAATATGGATTCAATTTCTACATTAAGGAAAATAATAAATACTTGAAAAGATGTTGAAGCCATAAATTAGTAAAATGGAAGCAAGAATCATTACAATTACATATTGGGCTATTTTATATATTTGGTAAAAAATTTCAAATTTCAATATCTAAAATCAGCAGCCTAACTAGCTTAAAAATAAATCTGGCCTTGACTATTATTAAAGCATATTAACACTGGCAAAAGAATATTTAACAATCCAGGAACTGGGCAAATCCAGAAAATTGAGGAAATAACTTACTTTTCAAAATCCTTTTTTATACACAAATAGGCAGTATTTTATGGGTTTTGATTTGAAGTGCAGGAAATAGTTAAAATTATTGATTAATTTTTAAGGTTGGAACATATATGTTGACATAATTACCCAATAAATACGTTTGCATTAAAATACAATATAAAAATTAAATTTAAATCTTTGAGAGGTATTTAATTGTGCTTTTTGAGTATTATGATTCATATTTTAGTTGGTAAAAAAAGTTTTATTTAAAAAAATAATAATAATAAGTAACAATTAGGATTAATACTTTGATACAAGTAGAGGGCAATGTTAAATGTTCTAGGCACATTATTTTGAGGTAGTTAGGGAAGATGAGTGACAATTTAGATTTAATAAAAAATAAAAAAAGTCAATTTATTTGCACTTTGCCAACAGATAAGTACCTTGGATATTTTACAGGTCAGTTAATTTTTGTCTTTAAATTTACAAAAATTCAATGATAGTCTACTAGGTCTTATTTCCTTCCAGGAAATTGTTGTTTTTATACTCATTGAAAATTGTTAAACAGTTATTTTCTTAAAGTAAACTTAATTACTTATTGAACATATATTTTAATCAACACAAAAAGTTCCTTTGCTCATTAATTCTCAAACCATCATAAAGTGGAAACTTTTTTTTAAAAAAAGTATGTAAATTTAAATTAATCATTCTTATTAAAATTCATTGAATTTAAAAAAAAATTGTAAATATCTCTCACAGGGTTGGGTTTTTGACGTCAAAAAGTAGTTTTTGACATGACAAGGGTATAATACTGGTTTAAACCGTCAAAAANACGGTTTAAACCATGGTTTAAACTGTCAAAAACCTGCCAACCCTGATCTCTCACAATTAGAAAAAGCATTAACAATATTTTTTGAATAATATGAGTTATCTTCTTTAATAGAGCCACTATCTAAGAAACCTCCTCAAAAGTCCTACCACCAAAGAACTATTTTTATTAGTGCCGCCATAACCAAAGAGCTTTTTTTAACAATGCCACCACTGCCAAAGAACCCTCTTCAACAGTGCCACAACCAAAGAACCCTCTTCAATGGTGCCACAACCAAAGAACCCTCCTCAATTACCTAGAAACAAATAAAATGTTTTATTGTCGATACCTCAATTTAAGCTCTTCGGTTTTATTTATAACTCATTCTTCAGTGTCACAACCAAAGAACCCTCCTCAATTACCTAGAAACAAATAAAATGTTTTATTGTCGATACCTCAATTTAAGCTCTTCGGTTTTATTTATAACTCATTCTTATGATAGTTCAGTCTATTTTCATGGTTGAGTATGGTCTAATGAAAAACTTCAAAGGAGGATTATAATGTGGGTTGAGTCTATAAAGTAAATCACAGCAAATTTTAAACAACTAAATTTGTTACAATTTAAACCCTTTTCTGCAAATCGTGCAGAAGAAAAAAATTATCAAATAAAATTTTACCAAGCAACTTTATTGTTATAGGGTTTCAAAAATTAATATTTCAATTTGTGTCATTTCAGCAAATAAAATTATAACCAATTTATTTTTCCTCAAAAGATAAATTTTAATGGATTATTAGAAATGATAATTTGAATCTTGTTCAAAATGTAACTCATAAAATGATCGAACAATTTCAATTCATTACAGACCATGAAAATGTGATAATATAAGTAGAAACAAAAACTGATTTTATCAACATATGATATAAAAATGTTGAATAGTACAGTATACTGTTTAATATGATTTTCATAAGTGCAGAGAAAATATACATGACTTTAATGTGATACTTTGATAATTTATTCACCGAAATAATCGGTTAAACAATATATTGATCAAAACATTTATACTTTGTTCATTGTTTTAATAAGTTGATATTCGTGTCACGTCTATTCCTAATATTAGATTAAAAATAATATTTTAAATAAACATTGCAGTGAACTCTAAAAATTTATCCAAGATATAAACATTAATCAGCTTTCTTAAAATATATATAGCACAACGAAAGCCGGCAATTTTTTATTACCTACTGGTTTCATATAAACAAATAACTTTTACTTATAACAATAAAACCCAAACTATTTAAAGAATTAAAAAAGTCAAGATACATTCCAAATAAATTGAGGAATCATAATATCAATAGGAAAATAATTGTGTAACGAGTATATATTTTGATGATTCGTTATGTTGTGAGAAACTTTTAAACCGACACTAGAACATGGAGGGAAGTTTACTTTCAAACGCTTGTAAGAAGAGCTCTCTTTCAGTTTTAATTTGATCTGTACTTGTTTCTTTTTCAGTAGGTTTCTCCCTTTTTTTAGGAGGCATAGTTTCCAATAAAAATATATCACTAATTTAGTTAAATATTTTACGCGCGAAATACTTCACACAATACATTAATACTCTTGGGAAAACTATTACAAATATACAATAAAAAAAACATCACAACAAAGACATTATTTCTTAAATTGTAGATGTTACATAGCACCCGCGGGTTTTTTATTTTTTTCAAAATAAAAATTTACTATCTGTACGAATAAGAGCATTTTATCGTATTTCTACTAGAGGACGCAAAAATCACATTTTGCATCTGTCCGAAATTCTATATTTTTATAGAGGGCGTTGTAATCTTTAAAGAGACTAGCGGATATGGACTATACGTTTTCCTGTGGCAACGCGCTTACTAGACTATTTTGCAAACTGGTTAACGATTGATTATTTAGAAAACCAGATGTTAAATTTTTTTTTAAAAATAAAATCTGAATAATTTACCATAAAATTAATCCCAGGATAGTGCTTTTAAACTGTGCTTGTGAGTCACTTGTAATATTTTTCTGATTCGAGACCGAAATCTTCCAGTTTTACCAGAGTTTGCCTCCTTCTCAACACTCTTCCAGTTATTTAATTGAAATCTAGTAGCGACACTTGAATTTGTCTCGTTTTCTGGAGTACATTTGTGAATATATACGCTTGTAATTTTACACATTTAACAGGGTATTCCAAAAGGTGTCCCGGAGCAATCAAATGTCTCTCGAAATATATTTGGATCGTAGAGAGAAAATGCGTGCTTAATATTTTACAAAAAGCTAACTCTTAATACCAAATTCGACACTCAACCTCAGCCCCGAGGATATGCAACTTCAAAATATTAAATAGAAAGAGCCCCCATTTTTTTTTTTAAAGATTTGGTTTCTAAAGAAAAAGAATTCCTTGATTTGATGGAAATTTTTTTTGTTTTGTTTGCATTTTCGTACGCAGTTGGAGTTGCAATCAAAACAAAAAAATTAGGTTTTATTTGTTTAATTAGGTTTAATAATATCTACGTGTCAGATAAAAAAAAAATTGGATGACTTGATGTTTAGAAAAAACACACTAAAGACTTCAAACTAGACTCTATTCCACCAATGCTGTAGTGACCAACGGTGGTGGGGTTGAGTTTTGCGATTTAAATGTTCTAATTTCTGTGCTTTTTCAAAGCTAGTTACACACACTAGCTAGTTTTACTAGTTAATTCCACAAAGCTTTCTTTAAGAACTATGTTTAATGCAGTTTTGAGTATCATATAGTTTCCTAATTTAAAATTTCTTAATCTCTTTGAAAATCAAGACTGAAACTAACATACTTCCTTTCCCCATGACTATCCACGAAAGCAGGCGAACAGTTGTCGAGGTTAAAACTAATTTAAATAATTTTTTTAACAAAAAGCATAAACTTGTTACAACAAATTATATAGATATACATTAATTTCGTTTACGAATACTTGTAAATGTGTTTTACTAACAAGGAATATAAGGATAATTAATTAATAACGAATAAATTTTAACGAAGTGGCGCATTACAATGTATTTATTGGCCATTAAGGCAAAGGGTGCGATTGTTCTTTTTCTTCCGGTGGCACCATCTACGACCAAGAATTCGACTTCTGCTACACCTGTTTATAGGGCTGACCCAGTAATACATTCATCCACAGATCGTAATTTTGACCTGAACCAGAGAATGAACAATCTCTAATTCAGTACCCCCAAAGATTATGATTTGTTAAGGGAACATGGGGGACTTTGTGACCCGACAAATATCAATACAGTATGCAAATTAAAGTAACCAGTATTGATATAGACATTCAAATTTACCTTATTCACTTCAGAGTTTGCCATTAAAATTATTTGTTAAGAAATTTTCATCACTAAATTCTCTCAAAGCTAAAGTTAATTCTTAAATGGGAAGATAAAATTAATCCAATCGAAATCCATTGCTGATGAAGAAAGTTATTAGCACTTATATATCGAATTACTCCAAATGCTTTTTAGACAATATTAAGAGAAAATATATTTTTACTATTTCAATCTGTGGTAACTCAAACTTCCAATTAGGCAAATTATTTTATTAATTCTCTCAGATTCAAGCTATCGCAAATTACTATAAATAGTTTAAAATAATTTATAGTTCCACATTTTAAAAAAATTAAGTACAAGACATTTCATAACAATCATAAATACTGTCGAATCTGTACTTAGTGTAAAATAATTTATAGTTCCACATTTTGAGAAAATAAAGCACTAGACATTTAATAACAATCATAAGTTCTTAACTATTGACCCAGTACTTAGTTCAGGTAAACTGGTCGCTCTTTCGTTATTCAAAGAAGAAACTTCAGAGAACTTTTTATATGAATTGCTCAAGCTTCATGACACTTGAAAAAGTTTAAAAAAAAATTTTTTTTAAGTGAAAATGATATGGATTTATTAGTTTCCCTTAATTTGATCAATTTCAGTCCTATTATGATGCGTTAAAAATATTCTAAATGAAGAACTAATTCTTAATTTAATATATCATTCAATTTACTAATACAAGTTTTGCACATCATGATGAAAAAAATGTATAAAAGCATTTCAAATCATATAAAATGTAGAAAAGTATTGCAAGTCTACTTTAACAAGAATATTTGGAAATTAAAAAAAAAACTTAAGTAGGCATAAATGCTAAAAATTTCAATAAAAACATTTTTATTAAGCTCTTAAAAATACAAAGAATGTCAACATGAATAATGTACTAAATGATAAATAAGTACACTTTATAAAAATTATTTAAAAAGTGATGCATTTAAAACAGTCATAATGCATCAATTGATCTAAGTGACAATAAAAATGTCATACAGTTTTCAAATTTTTGAGACAGATATAAAAGGTAAAAAATTCATCCCAAACACTATCCCCACAAAATATTTAATATAGATGTTTTATCTACGATAATTTACATTAAAAAAAAGTAAATACTACAGATACAACTTATTCTATGTACGACACATTTATATTTACATTTATTTCAGTGTGTAAACTTTATAAGAAACTATCACAGATTGATATCATATAGATCAGGTATACAAAAACGAAATATTTAGTACCAAACTTAATCAAAATAATAGACTTTTTAAAAACATAAGGTGCTTACTGGCACCATTAATGAAGACATTTTAACTAACATTTCATTTGCAATAAATTCTAATTAAAGAATTCAACTTATAAGAAAACTTTTAATTAAAAAGTGAGGAAACTTTCTTCAATTACATGGAACTTTAAAATGAAAGAATAAAAAAAAACAATACTGAAGCTAATACATTTTGAGTTGTCGTAAAAGAAAAACAGTAACAAACGATAAAAGTGAAAAACAATTTTTAAATTTACAAGTACCCCTAAAACTTTTAATAACAGTACAATTTATGTTGTTATATTATGTCATTTCAGTGAACGTACAAATTCATAACGTTAGGAACAGATCAGATAGATGAGAAAAGTGTTCCAGATGTGTTTGCAATTCAAAGTAAAATTAAATTGTTTATAAAAAAAAGAAAAATTTAAGAATCAGATCATTTGAAAGCTTGAATATTTATCTTTTCAACCAAACAGTTTTTAATACTTATTCTTATATGAATTACTTAATTTTGATGAAAGTGAGAATTCATGATTTTTATAAAGGGAGATTTAATTTCCTGATTATTTTTAGCCTTTAATAGTCAATATAAAATTAAGCAATATTTTTTATTGATTAAATATTACCGAGTAAACTTAAGAGCTTTTTGATAAAGATTTTTTTATAGTTATTAAGCAACAATTTAAAGCAGTCTTTTTGCAGATCTAAAAATGTTTTTCAGATCTAAAAAATATCACACAACAGGTGTTTCATACATATTTGATTTAATTAAATAACATAGCAGTCATAATAATTTTAAATCAAATTTAATAAACCAAAAACTGAATATAAAATTATAATTTTTTTCATTTTTTTAGGTAAAACTTGTGTTGTAAGTGTAAAAGTTGGCGCATATATGTAACATTCAATATACTTAAGTATTAAAAGTACACAATATAACTTTTTAGAAAAATTAAAAAGTTCTATACTAGTTAGTTAAGGGTTATATTAAGTATCTAGTTAATAAATAAAGCTCTCTAGTTCATGAATTATTTCATATTTGAATTACAGAGACATCTGAAGAGCATGTAAATGAAGTTTTGAACAGTACTGTAAAAGTCAAAAAGTAGGAACTAAATTTGGCTGATTAGTCAATACCTTGTTTAAAAAAAATCTAAATTCAAAAGAAATAAAATAAGGTTTGACACAAAAAAAAATTGTAAATATGCACTAACTAGATATAAATGTACATATTTTTTTTTTTTTTGACTCAAACATAAGCTTAGTTTGATATATGAAGGAGAGCTATATATATTCATTATGTTCTTTGAATTTTAATTACAAAGCAATAGAGTTGAATCAGTATTCACGGTAAAAAAATTATCCCTCAATCAAGAAGTATAATAAAAATAAAAATACTATTTATTTACATTTAATAAATACATTTGTAACAATTGCTCTTAGTTATAATAGAATTTAGAACAAAAATATATTTATTAAATTTACAAAATAAAAATAATTTCATTAAATATAACAATGTCATCATTTTACTTCTTGCCCAACTTCTTGCTTAGAATTAACAGTTTTCTTCGTGCTTTCAATATATTGTGTCCATTCAACATACCAAAATGTAAAAGTACCCATAACAGCAAATATTATAAGAATCAACAGTTGGAAAGGGAGAATTAACTTTGTTGAATAAAAGAAGGCAATGGCAGCAGCAATTGACTGAAAAAAAAATACAATTATTAGGTCCTAATTTAGAGAAAGGGAACAAATTTATATTTTATTATCAGCAAATATTAGCTGCAACAAAATTGAAAAACAAAACTTTTCCTCCACAAATTTTTAAAAGTATTGGTAAAGATTTCAAATTCGGAAAATTGAATTAAATATTATGGATTTTAAAAACTTACATTTTGTTTTATTCAAAAAACATTTCTTAATAATTGTTAAGAAAGAAAAATATGAAAGATAAATCTACTGTTTAAAATTTTTTTTTTTAAAGATTGTAAAAAGTACGACCTTTTAATATGGGGTAAAATAACTGCCATTTAGAGTTAAATCTTATTTCAACTTGCTTCTAACTGATTAACGATATCTTTATGATTTGGCTAAAATGTTATTTTGCCAAAAATTATTCAAAATGTAATGTTTTTTTTTATAATTTTATTTTACGCACAATAACAATTTGATGTACAGTGAGACCTCACTTGAACGGACACTCTTCGGAGTGATAAAATTGTCCGCTTACAAGTGTTGTCCGCATACAGGAAGAGTACACTAATAACGAAGTTTAATCTAGATGTCTAGCCACAGAGAAAGGAGTATTTTTTTCATATTTACACAGACATTCAAGTTAGTCATAAGATACCGAATAGTCACTTTTAGTCCTTTGTCACTTCCCCAGACTGTTTGGTTATTAGATTTCCTCACCTCCATCTTCCTATCACTTGATAGGAAACATGGTAATATCTCCTTGAAAGTAAACTTCCCAGGATGCACAGAAAAAAAAGAAAGCAACAATGCATACATGCAAGGCAGGAGAATCTATGGAGTTATCACATTCTCAATTGATTATCTGTCAAATGTCTAAATAAATATTTCATTTATATGAACACATCAATGACAAGAATTCTGTTCGGTGAAATTGAGAGCATTTAAGGCATCATATCAGCTTGTAGGCTCGCATAACCGAAATGGTCCAGAGGAAAAGATGCCACTGTCTAAAATATTTCACGAGAAGTATCATTTTCTCTCCTTTCTACGCAAAAATAAAGGAAGATGAAAGGAGAATGATTGAGTTTTTAGTTGTGAAATAGCATAATTTTGGTTGTGGATAAGGTAAGAGAATTACATGTTTTAAAAATGGTGGAAAGTTGTGTATTTTCCCCCTTTGAATTTAAAGCAGAATTGTTTCTTTTTTAAATCTAGAAAAATTGGAGTCCGGTTCTTAGAAATAAAAAATGACGTTTCAGGGCATAAATAACTGCCTGTGTCTGGTTAGGGGAGTGTCCGTTTTATGGAGAAAGCACATAACATTTTATTCATAGAAGGTTCGTGCTGAATTAAAAATATGTCTGTAATGAGAGGCGTCCGCTTTGTAAGAGTGTTCACAACGAAAGGTTTCACTTTTAATTACTTGATTAAAAACTTCATACACTTCAAAAATATACAAATTGGAAATAACAATCAACAAGTCTCAAAAATATTTTCCCATTTTCAAGACTTATCAGACTGGAATGGGAAGAAAGAAAAGTGATTTGAAATAAAAAAAAATTGCCAATGAAAAATGAAAAGATAAAGATGTGAAACAAAACTAGATAAACCACAGTAGCCAAAAGGGGCAAATCAAGGTAAAATGCATTTTCATGGGCTATGAAGAAGTGCTGAGGATGTTGTTAACAAGGGAATCACCATTATTATGAATAAAACAAGACTCCAGGGTATCAAGATGAGCTGATGGGACGAGGGTGGAAATAATTTTTTTTACAGCTCATCTTGCATTTCAGTCACCTCAGCTGATCTTGATACCCTGGAATCTTTTTTTATTCATATGAATACTGATTCCCTTATTAACGACATTAGTTCCTCAGTGCCACTACATAAAATGTGGAAATTCATTTTATTGTGATTACTACTGTGGTTTTCCTAGTTTTGTTTCTCACCTTTATTTTTCCATTTTTTGCTGGCAACTTTACATTTTATATTTCAAATCACTTTTTTTCCCTCCTCATTCACTCCAGGCAAGACATGAAAATAGGTGTCAATTTTTATAGCCTTGAAAAATGTTGACTGTTACTTTCACTTGGGATTATTTATTTGATGTTTAAAAATTTCCATAGAATTTACCTGGAAAAATTTGAATAGTGCAAAGGCTGGAGCACTGTCTTCAGAATACACTGATCCCAAAATGGAATATATCTAAAAATTAAGAAAATTTTTATTAGAATACTTAAAATTGAAAATATACATATTTTTGATATATTTTAACTAATTAAAACTGGACATTTTAACTTCAATTACAGAAGAAATTAGTGGCAGAATACAAGTAAATTGAAAGCAGAGTACTTAAAATTCTGTTTAGGATATTTTAAATAAAATGTACAAAATTTTTCACCCATATTAATTATTCAAATATATTTTTTAAAAATATATTAGTAATCAGATATGTCCTAATCAAGAATGAAATTCGTGCAAAAATTTAGAAATCCGGAAAATTTTTGATCATTAAATAAAAAAATTCTATCTTTTTCAATTTAACCAATGTATATCTTTTGTCTAGTTCTAATATTTTTAGATATAGTACCTGGAATTTAAGGATATATAGCATCCATTGAGTGACACAGTTGAAACTTTTAAGCTTAAAGTTGAACATATATATCAATATATGCATTGTTAAAAATTAGTAACATATTAAATTAAGATGCATTAAATTTAATCTCATGCATTTAAATGGAAAAGTTTCTAATTTTTCCAGTTTTTCTTTCTTTTTTTAACACAAGTTAAATCATTAGGTATAACTCACATTTTTTAGCCACCTCTCTTTTCTTTATAACACCACTATTTATTTATTTATTTATTTTTTGAGAGAGAGAGAGAGTTTCACCTTTCCTTTCTATAATTAGGATATGTTTTGATAATGGCTATATTTCAATGTGTTTTGATAATACCATTCCAGAAGAATTAAATACCACATTTGATTTCTTAGATAACCAGTACAGTTCCTTCAACTTGTAAAAATGTAGAACATAGGAAATTTTAGATGAATTAATGAGGCATTTAAAATTTAGATAATTAATTACTCAATGCTTCAATTTACCTATGCTTGAATTAATAAAATTACACTTTATTATACGTAATTTTTTGAACATTCCCCTACATTTTATTTTACAAAGGGGACAAATGAACAACTGATAATATATGTCTCCCTTTTAGCAGAAAATAATATTGTTTAAGTACCTTATAAATGAAAATAAATTTCTTATGAACCTTTCAAAACTAGATTATATTAAGAGCAAAAATATTTTTTACCTGAGTATTGTAGCACGCATCTCCAAATCCTAAACCAAAAGCACAGATCATTGCCAATGCAACACTAAAATAAATGTATTTTCAAAATTAATAAATTGAAGGCAATACATATGCTATTGTATTTTATTGAAAATAGCTTCATCTCTAATACATTATTTTTTGAAGTTATAGAATAAAATTTTTTTTTATTATTAAAAAATCATTAACAACTAATGAGAGAATCCATTTAGTAGTTTAAAGTGGAGTTTATATTAACTAATTAAAAATATACTTTGGGACTGAATAAACTATAATGAAACTGAATTAAAATTTTATTATTTCTGAAAAAAGTTTGATTTTTATTTTGCTTTACTTACTTATTATTGAAAATACTAGAAAATTTGTTCACATCTCAGTTTATTGCCATGCTAAAATTTTTTACTTTGATTAATACAACTCCTAAATCTAATTTCTACTTTGTAACTTATTATAACTAAAATAATAATAAAAAAAATAAAGAGGGAGAGAAGATAAAAGAATTACCTCCTTGTAAGTTAGGTTAAGTTATCCTCATAATTTATCTAGGTTCATCTAGATTTACTTATGACATTCTGAACATGCTACGTATCATCAACAAATGAAAATATTTTGCACTTATTTTGTTTCAATGTATTTACTTTTAAACAAGTATTGATCAGTTTCAATAAGTTTCTTCAATAAGTTTGTTTACAAATGTTGTACATAAAGGTTTACTAGCATGGTTTTTGGATCATCACTAAGGATGAATCTCTGACTCTTGCCATGGGTGTAACTGCTCCAGTAGGATATTAACTTTAAAAACCAAAACAATTTTTTGCTAAATGCGACTAAACATTTAAGAAATGAAAGATCAAAATTTATTCAAAAATTATATTTCTTGCAAATAAATTTGGTCTCTAAGTTCAAATTTTTTACCTTCTTTGCCTTTGTAACAATGTGACAGGCAGTAAACATTACTCTTTTTAATTTCACAGAAGTTAAGGAGTATCTGTAGCTCATTACAGTTTCTCTTAGTTTTTCTCTTGTTTTTGTTTGCTATACACCCTTTTGTACTTGTTTGTAAATTGATTAAATTTCAAAAATAGAGCTAAATTGTCTCTATTTTAAGCTTTACTATTATAATTGCTTGGAGAGGAGAATTTAGATATGTTTTCCAAATTGTCTTGTGAAGGATCTCGTAACAATGTAAGTGTTAGTCATTACATAAATACTTAAATACTTAATAAATACTTAAATCCCATTTAACTTCTAAAAAAAAATTTAAAAAAAAACTTTAGTCTAATTAATTTTTAAATAAAGAAAATAAATTGGAAATAATATGNTATTTAAATACTACTACTTACTTTTTCCAACAAACACAGCTAAAACATTTTTTTGTTAAAAGGAAGAAAATCAAAATATTTCTTACTTGAATCTACACATTGAAAATATTTCTTACTAAAACTGAAGTATGATAAATGACAGAAGAAAAATCATCGCATTTTCCGGGAAGAATTTATTAAACTGAATAATTTTTGTTGCAGTACACAACTAAGTGTTTTTCCAAATTTTAAAGGGTGAATTGATGTCGTCTGTCATCAAAGATCATTTTGAAAGCAGAAAATGACCTCTCCACGTCAACCGATGTTATTGGACAAAACTTGTACAATTTTGTACTCATTGGTTTTACTTTCTCTGGAAGTTCAGTTCCGTTTCCATTAAGAAAATCATTTATCTTCTTCACTGCTGCAAAACCCGGATTTTTGTTTTGAACGAAACACCATTTTTCTTTTACTTTCTTCCCAACTGAGTTTGGGAGAGCATTGATGCACTGTTGAATTTTTTCAATTTCGGATATGGCCTCAGCCAGGGGTAGACCTCGTGTTTCGAGCTTTGTTATTGCTCCACTTAAGAAAGAAAAGTGAGTGTCAATTATGGCCAAGTCGTTCTGCAAAGAGATATCCTGTAGTAATTCTTTTGAGACATAAACTAAAGAAGCACAGAAACTGTCAATTGCATCTACAACTGACTTTATTGCATCAAAATTATTAGCGTAAATACGTGCAGCTTCAATCCATGTACTCCACCTAGTTATCACAGGCTGTGGAGGTAAGGGCAAATCAGGATACATTTCTTTATACAATTTTATGCGCTGAGGTGCCTTGAGAGAAACTTTCTTGATACTAGAAATTAAATCATTCACAGAGGAGAATACTTCTCGAGCAGTCTCAGCCAGTTTGTGAACAGCATGAGCCAAACATGTAATATGAAGCATTCTGGGATAAAAAATTTCCAGTGCTGCTGCAGATTTGACCATATACGGAGCGGCATCACTGACAAAAATCAAAACATCTTCAGAACCATCTCTATCAGGCCATAATAATCTGATAGAATCATTGACAAACCTTGCTATGGTTGAATGAGTGACTTTTTCAAGGGCTTTGCTTGCTAGAAGATGTGGTCGAGTAGGAATATTATCCATTTTTCCACAAATAAAATTAGCAATATAGCAACCGCACTTATCTGTCGTCTCATCGACTTCAATACATATAGGGCCATCTCCAATATCTCGTCGAATATCATCCAGTACTTCGTTACATATCGGTTGAAGGTAGTTCCTTCTTAAAGTCGATTCATCGGGAATGATCTGATTGGTACAATATTTTTTTAAAAACTGTCTTAAGTTTGGATTATTTAACTTTTTTAAAGGAATATTGCTGCTTACTAAGGCTTTACATAAATCACTAGAAAAATCACTTTCCTTTTTAGCTGCTTGAACAGGAATAGTTAATAAACTTTGAACAAATCCTTTTGTATTCTACTTTTTCTTCGCGGAGTGAGCATTAGTCTTTATATGTTGATCGATTTGGTACTTTTTTTCACAGGAAATGTGCTTTTGACAAATCACACAAAATACTATTTCCCCATCGGTCGTAAAGTCCTTCCCATAGTCCGAAATTCATATCTTCATTAAATTTGATTTAGTCGACTTAATTTTTGGCATATTATAAAATTCAGCAGTCAAAAATCACGTTCGAAGCTTCACTAACTACGTATTCAACTGATGGATGTCGAAAGTATCTATCAAACGGATGGACTATCGAAATATGTTAGAATAGCAGCTCTCTCCGAAAATGTATTCACTCCACCTTTTAACTAATCAATCACAGGAAAGGGAGGTCATTTTCTACCTACCACAGAAGCCTTATTTTTCCCACACAGATTGACAATTATTTATTCCAGGAAAAGACATCCCTTCATAGAATATCTGACCATCCCTTTCTGAGGTTTCTATGACGAATGTCTGTTTGGGTGGGCCCTTTGTACCCCCCTTTCCGACACACACCTCATTTCTACATCNATGGCCAAGTCCTTCTGCAAAGAGATATCCTGTAGTAATTCTTTTGTGACATAAACTGAAGAAGCACAGGAACTGTCAATTGCATCTACAACTGACTTTATTGCATCAAAATTATTAGCGTAAAAACGTGCAGCTTCAATCCATGTACCCCACCTAGTTATCACAGGCTGTGGAGGTAAGGGCAAATCAGGATACATTTCTTTATACAATTTTATGCGCACAGGTGCCTTGAGAAAAACTTTCTTGATACTAGAAATTAAATCATTCACAGAGGAGAATACTTCTCGAACAGTCTCAGCCAGTCTGTGAACAGCATGAGCCAAACATGTAATATGAAGCATTCTGGGATAAAAAATTTCCAGTGCTGCTGCAGATTTGACCATATACGGAGCGGCATCACTGACAAAAATCAAAACATCTTCAGAACCATCTCTATCAGGCCATAATAATCTGATAGAATCATTGACAAACCTTGCTATGGTTGAATGATTGACTTTTTCAAGGGCTTTGCTTGCTAGAAGAAGTGGTCGAGTAGGAATATTATCCATTTTTCCACAAATAAAATTAGCAATATAGTGACCGCACTTATCTGTCATCTCATCGACTTCAATCCATGTAGGGCCATCTCCAATATCTCGTCGAATATCTTCCAGTACTTCGTTATATATCGGTTGAAGGTAGTTCGTTCTTAAAGTCGATTCATCGGGAATGATCTGATTGGTACAATACTTTTTTGAAAACTGTCTTAAGTTTGGATTATTTAACTTTTTTAAAGGAATATTGCTGCTTACTAAGGCTTTGCATAAATCACTAGAAAAATCACTTTCCTTTTTAGCTGCTTGAGCAGGAATAGTTAATAAACTTTGAACAAATCCTTTTGTATTCTGCTTTTTCTTCGCGGAGTGAGCATTAGTCTTAATATGTTGATCGATTTGATACTTTTTTTCACAGGAAATGTGTTTTTGACAAATCACACAAAATAGTATTTCCCCATCGGTCGTAAAGTCCTTCCCATAGTCCGAAATCCATGTCTTCATTAAATTTGATTTAGTCAACTTAATTTTTGGCATATTATAAAATTCAGCAGTCAAAAATCACGTTCGAAGCTTCACTAACTATGTATTCAACTAATGGATGTCGAAACTATCTATCTATCGGATGGACTATCGAAATATGTTAGAATAGCAGCTCTCTCCGAAAATGTATTCACTCCACCTTTTAACTAATCAATCACAGGAAAGGGAGGTCATTTTCTACCTACCACAGAAGCCTTATTTTTCCCACACAGATTGACAATTATTTATTCCAGGAAAAGACATCCCTTCATAGAATATCTGACCATCCCTTTCTGAGGTTTCCATGACAAATGTCTGTTTGGGTGGGCCCTTTGTACCCCCCTTCCCGACACACACCTCATTTCTACATCTTTTTCACGTGATTGCAATCACCCAGCAACATCAATCCAGCTGACCCTTTCAGGTGATAAAGAACGAGAAAACAAAATTTAAAGCGTTCCTTATGCTAACATAAAAAGAATAGTGATATGGTTTTAGGAGGGAAAAGCCATAAAATGCTGAAAATATGCATTTATAAGAACAAATATACCTTTTTATGCATTTATATGCACAAATGGCAAAAAGTGCTAAAAATATGCAATTGCATATGCACGTATGCAATTGCATATTATCCGCTGTCTAGTCATTACATAAATACTTAAATCCCATTTAACTTCTAAAAAAAAATTTTAAAAAAAACTTTAGTCTAATTAATTTTTAAATAAAGAAAATAAATTGGAAATAATATGATGCAACGTTTTTGATTAAATATTAGTACAATAATTCTTAAGTGTTTACTTTGTATAATTTAGCTGTTAGTCATAATGTAACTTGTTATAAAATAGCGGTAATTTACAAGCGCAACCTCTGTTCTGAAATTTACTCCTCTATTTGAAATTTAATTTCTCAAAAGAATAGAGAATTTTTTTGGGGGGCAACACTGGCTGGTCCATTCTAGTTTTTAAGCAAATTCTTCAGATCCAGTGTCCTCAAGTTTCCCAGCTTATTCAATCATTATAAAAATTCCCTAAATCGGAAAATCTTTACCTAAAACATTCAGGGAGGATAAAATTTTTAGATTGTTTTAAAGATGAAGAATGATTCTAGAACAAATTGGTATTTACATATTTTAATAAATATATACCAAAATTAAAATTTGCTGATTTTTAATAGTTCTTTAAAATTGGCTTAAAATACCCAGACCATCCAATCGAAAAAACAACAAAAAAAGTATGCATAATTATCATAAATAAGCTCAAAATATTCTCACCTGCTGGGAATAATAGTAGGTTGAATAACCGGTGAATCCAAGAAAGGTGATTTTGCAGGCAGATTAATGTATATGGCAAAAAACGTTAAGACATGAACTATGAAACCTAACAGAATAACTGGATCCCTGCCAAATTTATTGGTTTTCTTTCCAAGAATACCAAAGAGAGCACCTCCTATAATTTAGTGTCAGAATTAAAGTAAGGATTACAGTAAAAGAAAAGGTGATTTTAAAAGACCCATCAAGAAAATATATATGCATTGCAATAAGAACCATGTCTTAACACTCTAGTATTTTAATTTAAAACATAATTTTTGTTTTGATGATAATGAATTAATTTGGGGACATATTTTTAGGTTTTTACTTGCTTTTTTCTCATTTATTTGGCAATACGATTAATCATGAAAAACATAGAAATAAATGAAAGACATTGATATATTTTTTCTTGACTTCGGGATATTTATATAAGTTAAATAAATTTTTATCAATGAGTAGATAATTCAGTCGGATTGAGAATATATATATACTGTACATATATATGGAGAGGAAAAAATAAAAAGATTTCTTAGATTAAAAATAAAAAGATTTCTTAGAATTTCTTAGAAAAGATCATTAAAATACAGNAAGTTAAATAAATTTTTATCAATGAGTAGATAATTCAGTCGGATTGAGAATATATATATACTGTACATATATATGGAGAGGAAAAAATAAAAAGATTTCTTAGAAGAGAAGAAAAGATCATTAAAATACAGAAATCTCAAAAAAATATTTAAACATTTCAAAAAGCTGGAAAACAAAATAAGGAAAAGATATAATCTCGTCATCAGCTCACACGATTATATAAACAGAAAAAAGTACTTTCTAATATTGTATCAATATAGCCAAAGCAAAATCTATCAATACAATAGTGTGAAGAGCATAAAAAAAAAATGAAACGAAAATAGAACAAATTAAGCAAAAAATGCAAAATAAAACATATCAAACCAAAAATAAAAATACATGAAACAGAAAATGTGTGATACAAAGCAAGTAGTGAATTCATATTTACTTCCACTTACCGGTACCTTTCAAAAATGACTTAAAATATTTTTGTACCAAGTTTGCCAAATACTTGCTTTATATATTACATTTCCTGTTTTTTTTGAATTTTTGCTAAATATGTTGTATTTTGCATAATTTGTTTAATTTTTGTTTGTTGTTATATGATTAATAAACTAAATGGTTAAAGAAACATTAAAAAATGCGATATTTTAATTATAAATTTTTGATAGACAGACATTTGATAGCTAACCTATCAGGTTTTTGCAAATGATAAAAAATAGTATTAACATCAGTTTTTACCAGATACTAAAACTAAAAAAATTAGTTATAACTCCTCTCTAAAGCAAATCGATTCTAGAAAAGGGAAATAAATTGAGTGCAATAATTAATAAATATTTATAGGTAAACAAACTATTTAGCTCAGAAACTTTTAAGCCTGACAATTTGATGATTAAAATGAGGATCCATTACCCTCATAATATATTTATTTCTACTAATTTAATCTTTTTAAAGGGCGATGAGCACTTAAAGCGTTTGAATCATGCATGCATGAAAGCACTCTAAATTACACAGCACTACAAACCTATGATTTCCCCAATTCCAATGCAAATTCCTGAAATTCCAACAAATTTTTTGGCATCAGCACCAAGTTGATTAGTGAATCCAACAGCAGTACCATACACTCCGCTAAAGAATGACAGCTCAAAACCTAAAATAAAATTAATTTAAATATAATTAAAATTAATTAATTTATTATTTAGTTATTAATAATACTAATTTAATTAATTATTTAATTATAATTTATTTAATTAATTACTTAATTATAATTTATTTAATTAATTATTTAACTGTAATTTATTTAATTAATTATTTAATTGATAATGTATTTAATTTATTATAATAAATCAAAAAATCTCATTCTAACACTCAATTTTAAATTAATTTAATTTTCTTCTCTGATACAAAGAGCAAATTTTAATCAGCATTATCAAATCATCTTTTTCATTGATTCTAATATTTTTGTCAGTTTTTATAAACAAAAATATAATTCTTAATGAAAACTGATTTTTAGAGTTTATAGAGAGTGCAATGTTTATAAGTAGTAATTTAAAATTACCTTTCTTTAACTTCAAAGAATTAAATTTATTTAAAATTTTCCAGTGCTCTGATGCAGAGTAAAGTTGCACAGAATTTTCACTTTTACATACTGCTTTCTCAAGGATTAACAAATATCATAATTAGAAAATGAATAAAACATTAGAGGAAATAATAATGTCAAAAATAAATGATGTTTCTAATTACCTGTATATAAAAATGTAATAGCAAGACACATCATTTCTTTTGTCTTTAAGAGACTGACAGCTTTTTCTGAAAAGAAATAATTAGACAGTTAATAAAACAGTTAAATAAAAGCAAAATACTAATTCAAATTAGATATAAATTTTTTCAATAGTATAAGTTAAAAAATCTTTACTGTGACAATATTTCCCAATAATAGTAACAGCACTTTTCTTTTCTATAAATGTACTTTATATAAAATTTAAGAAAATAAAATAAAATTGCTTTAGCACTCTTTTCGAGCAATAGTTAAGTATTTTTTCTATTAATAATTTCTGATAGTTGTTTCTTTCCATTTTTTTAATACATACATTATGTAATTTTATAATTCAGAGCTTAAAGGTGTAAAACTAGGAATAGTCAAGCACAGTAATATATTTACAACAATAAAAATTGCAATTAACGATGCAATCTTAGTAGCACTAGTAAATATAGCTTTTGATTCATGGCATAGTTAAACATTAACTTTAAATAACTGTTTTGGAGTATAAAAATACATATGTTTGTTTAGCAATAACTCATTAAATCACAATTTTCAAATAGAGAATGAAAAATTTTCTTTTTTCAAAACAAAAGATAAAGGGTATTTGCAAGTGTAATAAGTATCAAGGAAGGCAGTCTAATTTTTGAAGTCGTTATTAATACATATTAATTTAGTTCGAATAAAGATATTTAATACGTTTTTGAAGAATTTGAAAATTTAGTTTTTTTTTAATAGTTAAAAGAGCAAAAAACATCTTATTGAGAAGTAAATAATTAAAACTTTAATTGAATGCACTTTTAGTAATAGCAAATTAAATGTAATCTGTTAATTTCTAATTGTATTTTTTCTAATGAAACATTGAATTTTAATCCTGTCCTAAGAAAAAAATAACTCCCTTCTTGAATACATAATCAAATAAGCTAAGTTGGGAAAAGATTAAAACATATTCATACTTTAAATATATGTATATATTTTAAGGGAGTTAAAAAAATGATTACCAATCAAGAGTATTTTAATATAAGTTAAATTGCACTTACTTAATTCATCTATAGCACCTGCCGTTCCAGAAACTTCACTGAAAATGATATAAACTTTATTATCATAAATTGTATCAATCCTAACATAAAGTTACAAAGCTGCTAGTAAATAACAACCTATTTCAGATTATATTAATAATTAAAAACAAGTTCAAATTTAATACCATGATTAATAAAAATTTCTTACGTAATAAACTATAAAAATAAAAGTAAAAAACAGTAAACTCAGTGAAATTTCAAAATAAAATATTAGAAAATAAGATAAAAAATAATTCCACAACATAGCATTTTTCAAGAACAATTTTAGCACTTATGAAATTAAATTTCAAACTCCACTTCTACTTTCTTTTAAAAAAAAGACAAACTTTACTGCACAGTTTATAAACTATTAAAATTCATCATTTAACAAAAAATACAACAAAGCAAGGAAAGTTTTTAAATAAAATGAATTTTAAAACAATTTTGAGTCAGTGATTTCATAAAATGATGCAACTTTAAAATGATATCAGATTACTGTTTGGTAATTCAACAGCAAATAGCTTAATTTAGACTCCTTTCTGCATAGTGATAAAAAGTTAAAAACTAATTTCAAACTATATCAAATAATAAATCAAAGTTTGAATAAATTTGGAGTTTGCCTTAGAATAAATCACCCTAATTACCGCTGTAGTATAAAAAATCGTTGCAAAAGTAACCATGGTAAAAAAATTATGATAACTAAAGAGCTTACCTGTTTTGAATATTAATGGAAGAGCTTTTGTTATATCTTAGGAATAACAGCAGTGCCAATCCAATGAGTGAAACAACTAAAAGGACTCCAAACACTACATATCGAGTTTTTTCGTCAATTTCTTCTTTACCTTGAAATTTAAAATAAACAAATATGTTTCCAAATAATAAGCTGAAATAAAAAATAATAGAAAAAGAATTAGGTTCCAAAAAACTTGAGACAGTTTAAACTTTTAATTAAATACAGTAGAGCGCCAATTATCCGAACCCTTATTATCCGAACGTCCAATTATCCGAACTATGAATTCCGAATTCGCTCTTTTTTTTCCTTCTCTTCTTTAAGTTTAGAATTTTTTTAAACTTATCCACAATTTTTCTAAATTTAGAGGAATAGATAATATCCACTACATCTGAAGACCATATTTAATTTACAACCTTTTTCCGCAGTTTTCTTATAGTAGCCATACATACATGCATTGTTATACAGTTAAACCTACATACCCCTTTAGCCCTCTTCCACTGAAAATTATCATCAAAGAATGCGAGCTTCATTTTGACAATCTACAATTGTTGGAAAGCTGAATGTGTTTATGAATAGATAAGTGCTGAAATTCTACAATTGGGAGATGGGTAGTTGTCACTCATGGTTAATGAGTAGTGATTACATTGCTTGGAATCTTAAATCTTGGAATAAAATTCTTATCAGAAAAACAAACAAAACTGCAGTTTGTGAATTGGTAGATCTTTCGGGTGAAAAGATGCCAGGTTATACAGCAGAAGAAATAGAAGACTGGTGTCGAGACACTGAAAACGACTCAGGATTTCAAATTTTAAATGATCATGAAATTGTTTCTGAAATTTTGAATGAAAATTGGAACTCCTCAGATTAAGAGGAAGAAGTACATGATCAAGTTCAAGATAGTGAACCTTCTCATAAGAAGGATGCAATTCATTAGATATTGCAATGAATTGCCTAGAACGTCAAAATGATGTTGATCCAATTCAGTTGATTTATTTAAAAAGAATAGGGGATATGGCTGCACAAAAAAGAGCATGTTCTTTGAAACAAAAGTCTTTGCTGGATATCTTTTGCAATGGAAAATAAAGAAAAATGTGGTAAAATCAGTAATTGAGAAAAAAAATTATAAAAAAACCGAAATATGATAAAAATGATTCAAATTGAAAAAAAAAGTTTAAAAAATATATTTAAAAATTGAAAAAAAAGGACTTAAACTCGCCAGAGCTATTTTAGATAGTACTGCCAGTCCTAAGCCTAGAAAAAGTGTGAAGGGAGGTTAGCGCATAAATAATAATAATTTAAACTAGGTTTTAAACAACTTTCCAATTATCCGATCATTTCATTATCTGAACCACGTTCCGTCCCGAGCAGTTCGGATAATCGGCGCTCTACTGTATTTATAAACTAAATATTTTATGAGTCAAATGATAGAATAAAGATAATTACATGATCTTTTTTTATAATTATAAGATTTTAATACATTTTATAAAAACAGAATTAAACAGTAAATAATTATAAAGGTTCTATTTTTCTCAAAACTACACCTCCTACATAGCAAGCAACACCACTAGATCAGTTAGCAATAATCTTGATCTAATTGTGTAATTAACAGTTTCTCTTTTTTAAAATAACCAATGTATAAGGCTTATTTATTACACCATTTCCTAAAGAAACTGGGAAATGCATTCATCTAAACTTTTATTAAAATAACTATGTAAAATAAAGAAAAAATAAATGAATGAAGAAAAAATAAATTAAGAAAGGAAAAATAAAACAGAGTAAAAAAAAATAAATAGATAAATTATATTAGATTTTCATTATTTATGCCTAGGTAGCAGTTTTTGTTTCAGACAATAGAAAGTTAAATTCATACGCTAAGTGATTTAGAGAAAACTTAAATATATCATCATGGCATATATCTCTAAATTTCAAAAAATTTACTTAGCTCATATTTTCCTTATTAAAAGAAGTTCTTTTTTAAAATTAAACTTTGATTCAAACTGAGCTTAGATTTCAGGAAGTTTCCATGAACCTCAATAATAACAAATTTTAAAAAGATATATTTTTGCTTTAATTTTCCTATCTCACTTTTTTAAGATGTTCTATGACTAAGAAAGGGATTGAAGCAATTTTTGCAGTCATCTAAAGTCTGAATTTTCAATAAATGTTATCCCCATTCAAATTCCCTTTATCCAAAGAAGCAAAATAGGAAAAAACTACAAATTAATTGAAAAGGACAGTTAAGTACTTCAATAGATCATTTGAATAGTAATGTTAGATAGCTTTTCTTTGTAGATTCCAGAAATATCTCAGCTTCTTTAAAAAAAGAAATTTCTCTAAAGAACAGCATTTTTGCATACGTCTTGTTTTAGTTAGTACTTTCCATCAGGTAGAACTGAAGCAGATTTGTAAAGAAACCTAAGTTCAATAGTTATAATTCACAATGTCAAGACCTGAAACATAACTGTAACTTCATAATTAGGAAAAAAAATTTGGAACTTACAGAACAAAAAAAAAATTTTTTTTTAGAAAATAAAAATGATATAATATGAGGCTACAGCTAAATATTTCCGCAATTTCCATTAAAAGTAGAAAAAAAAACCTAAGAGAATAAGACTATTTCAGTAGAATTGTTTGAAATTTAATTTTCAAAAATGAAATGGAACTAAAATAAATAGTCGTATTTTTGTAACTAATTATAGTTTAAAAATATTTTTAAAAAAAAGATGAAATCTTTAAATCTGTCGCTCGAGAATGGATAAAATACAGAGTTTAAGGGCATCTCAGTTGGAACTGGCTACACTCTTTCCAACTTAAAATTACAACCTACATACAGGTGAACCAAATCAAACATTAAAGAAAGAAATCAGAAGAAAGGTCACATAAAACACAAATACCTCAAGTATTCATTGACAAAATTTTTCTGAAGGATTTTTTTGCATGTTTATTGTTCAAAATTACTTAAAAAACTTTACATAATGAAGCAGTGGTGTGCAAAAGTGTGTGGATGCTTGGGGCAAAATTCTTGAATAGATGCCTCTGTAAAGAGGAATGTAATAATGTAATCAGGTGAGGGGTAGAGAAAAAAAATTAACTTAATTAAAAGTAAAAAAAAAAAAATTCAATGGAGTGATATATAAAGATCTAAATCTATATTTGCAATTCATTTTTATGCAAATGTATGCTGAATTTAGTTTATGATAAAAAATTTATTAATTCTCATTAAATATTTAAATTTTTTTTGGATGTAAAATTTAAATACATTTACCCAAGACTTCATTATTAAATTTGTATCAAAACCTTATTTTAATCTTCATAAAATATTAAATATTAAGCCAAATATCTACCTAATGAAGAATTTAAATTTATACTAAGTTATATTATTAGTTTTTGATCAAATGTTCCCTTTGGTTAGAGGCCTGAAAATGTTGAAATTTTTTCCTTTTCCTGCACGCTACTGTAACGAAGGGAAAACAAATTATTAAGCATCGAAACATTTTGGAGTTATTCATTGTTCACTATCAATTCTGTATTAAAAAAATTCTACACAAAATATAGTAGTATAAAAATATATTTAGTATAAAATAAAATAAAACTAACCTGCACTGTAGTAGTGCCCAAAATACACCACTATTTCTAGACATAGTTTCACTATCAGAGTTTATTGTCAAAAAATTTCCCTGGCCAGTCCAAAAAACTAAAAAGTGAAAGTATCATTAAATATAAAGTGAAACTTCTATTGTGAAGTGTTATCAGTATTGATACATTTTAAAAATTGAGAATACAAATAATTAGAAATAAAAAATATGAAATTTTTACTTCCAATGTTAATTTGCCTAATTATAAAACACTTAAGATCAAATGTGAAAATTCTTTTTTCCAAGCACTTTGATAAAAGTCAGAAAGTTCATAAACATCAAGATACAAACATTATTAACATAGCTCATTTCTTTGTTATGTAATTTTTGACATTTATAAGATTCCAGACATTAAAATGACAACTATAATAGAAATTCTGGTAATCAAAATAAAAAAAATTGTAATTCAGTCACTGTGTTTATCTAGATAAATGTAATTAATTCTAAATAGCTTTATGCATTGAAACTAACAGAACGCTGAAATTTAAAATTGAAGAAGGATGTTTGGTAACAAGGCTAACAATTTAACTTATTCAAAAATGCAAAAAAAAAAAAAAAAAAAAAAAAAAAAAAAAAAAAAAAAAAAAAAAAAAAAAAAAAAAAAAAAAAAAAAAAAAAAAAAAAAAAAAAATAAGTAAAAAAAGATTGGATATACTTACTAGATGCTCCAAAACCTATAATAACTGAAGCAAGGTACAAAATCCACGTTTGGGGAAAGAAAAAATTTCCAATGAAAAGACTGCAAATAAAAATATAAAACTTGAGTTCTATGATTTTTTTTAACTTGAAAAAAAAAATAATAAAAAAACAAAAATATAAGTAGCATAACACAGAAATCCCAATTTTCTTTTCTTAGATGGCTATCAAAATTTATTATAAGGCATACTAACATACATACATAAGGTAACTAAAACTGATAGTTTTTTAGTCAGGATTTGCATGTAACCTGGTGTTTTTAAAGTAAAGTTCATTGGTTAATAACTAGAAATTTAAATAATACAAGTTAAATTCTTAATTTGATCATTTTTAAAAAAGAAGCAACTTGCATTACAAGTTGAGAATGGCATAAAATATTAAATAGAAGAAGAGATGGATGGATAAGTACCAATTTTTTGGTATCAGTTACAAACTGATACAACTAAATATCAATTACAAAAACCTAATATTTAAGTATTAAATATGTCACAGTTCTTCCTAGGAAAAAAAAAAGGGAAGGGTGCTTCCTGACTGAATAGGGCACTTACATAATTTATCAAAATGTGTAATATAAATTATGTAAAAACTGAATTTGATCTTCAACAATTTAAATTATCCTCTTGTAAATTATATGTGCATATTTTAAAAAGTAATTCTCATTCATAATAAAATGAGAAAAAATGTATAGTTAATATTTTTTATTAAAAAATAATTAAAGGCATGCTAAAAGACAATCTCTGTGTATAAATTTTTTTTCTCCAAAAAAAGTAAACTAAAAAAAAATAAATTATTAATTGATGAACAACTTGAAAGCTTTTTTCTACAATTTAAACTGAAAATTATAAGAAAATGAACATTTAAAGGTGCATCTTTTTTTTAAAAAAAAGGTAATAAAAAAATAATTTTAAAATCACTTAAAAATTTCAGAGACAAAGCAAATATTTGTAACAGTAATCAGAATTAAACCTATAAACACAGAAACAAATTTTGAACATAGTACTATAACTCTTTTCTCTAAAAATATTTCAATTAAAAAACAAAACAAATTTGAAATTATCTTTGAATAAACAGTTTTCAATTGCATATATTAAAATGTTTTATTACACTTAAACAGTTTCAAAGATTTGATAAAATATGTGACTCCTTTATTTAGCAACTATTTTTCAATTTATTAAGACTGCATCTTGATGTGAAAATCTGATGAACAAATCAAATGTCATTTGGGGCATTTCATTTATTTACGTAGTGCATGCATATATATATATATATATACATATATATGCACAAAGTGAAACCCTCTGTTATGGACACTGTATATATATATATATATATGAATACATATAGGTTTTGCTGTATATATAATATACACACACACACTTCCGGAATAAAATTCCAACTAAAAAGCTTGAAATTTAAAATATTTAATGTTTTACCTGTAGCAGAATCCACCAATTAACATAGAAATCTTTGCACCAAGAATACTTATAATCGAAGGAGCAATCCAATTTGAAATGGCAAATACAGCATAAACTATGGCTAAACTGAAAAAAATTACAAATAGAATTAAAAAGTCTAATTAAGATCATTATATAGATAATAAGTTCTCTAGAAAGATTCCATATTTCAAAGAAAAAAAAAGTCATAACTATCACAAATTATAATTTTTCTATACAATATTCTACAATAATAGAAATTTAAAAAATCAAAATTTTATAAATTAGCTTTAACATGACTAAATATGCTTAAAATATTGTAAAATTAGAAGAATATCTAAAAAAAAATACAAAGGTACTTATTTTGTTAAACTTATTGTTGAGAAGGTTCCCACAGAACACTACCACTTTGAGACTCAACTGTAAATTAGTGAGCACTTCAAATGCATAAAGTAGTACACTTTTATTTAATCACTCTTTCAGTCTACTAAAATTTGGTTCTGTTGCATTTCTTTTGTTAATCAAATTAAAGAAAGACAACTCTTCCAAAAGATTTTATTTTCAGAGGCTTTTTTTCATAATTTAAATTATGAGAAAACATAATCATTTTAAAAGGCACACCAAAAACTTTATAAAATAATTTTACAAACTTAATTAGTATCTCATACCAAGTTAATAATACTTAAAATAAAACCATTATACCTGATATATCCATCTCCATCATAATTTGTATACTGTTTGTTCATACTTTTGATGACAATGTTCTACAAAAAAATTGCACAAGATTAGTTTATAATAAGATTGATTTAGGAACAACGAAGTCAATAAGCTAATTTCATTTCTTTTGTATTCTTTATATTCCTACTTATTATTACTTTTTAAACAATAAAGTTGAGATCTTTCAATAAATAACATAACATTAAGATATATTTGAATAAAACAGATTATTATTAATAAAAAAATTAAGCTTAGAATATGTTCTTCTAATTACATATCTAGATGGAAATCAATTAGGAATGTACCAGGTATTAGACAATAACTGGGTATGCGGCAAGACGTTCATAACCTGGAGCCGGTAAACGAATTCTACCAGATTTTAATCTCAAGAACTGGTAAATTTTACCCGGTATATAGTATTAATGGGTAATATTCCTTTATGTTCAACACAACCACATTAAGATATAGATGACAACTTTAGAATTATTTGCAAAAATAATTTTAGGTTCTTGAAAACCATACAGTTCACCAATTTTTTAATAAATTGAGACTGAAGTTTAGAAGTTGACTGACCCTTAGTTGTTTATCTGAGGAAACACTAATTATTGGTTAAAGGCAGGATAAAATTAGTCTCGTAACAATGGATGGATAACCATACATTTTGAGGACAGTTAGCAGCGATCCTCCAGTTCAGTTAAATAAGATAGGTATTGATTAGGATATATTTCTTAGAACTTTTAATTTTAACCAAAATTATCTTAGATCAACCAAAAATTTTTCATAAGATACTTCATTTATATCTGTCGTTGAACAGCCGACCCAACTTTGGGTTTAGGACAACTAATGCTCAACTAAGTAGACTTGTAATTTTGAACCAATCCAGAAAATAAGGAAACTCCTGGATCAGTATCCCCAGAGGTATTGATTTGTTATGGGAACATGGAGGACTTTGTGACTCGACAGATTTAATGTGCATCAGTCACCATTTATTACAAGGGGAGTCTTCGGCTGGCTGGGATTGAACCCACGAAATTTTGGACATGGGCCCAGTGCCCTACCAGCCAGGCTATCCCGGCCTACAAGCCACTTTATTTAGAAAAATCATTTTATCACAAAAAGAACTTTGCGAATGCAGATTAAAGCAAAATTGAAAAACTAATAAATTAATTGTTAACATAGCAAAAAATAGATTAACTTTTCAAACAATATTTTGCATATTGAATTTTTCTAATAAGAAAAAAAAATCATAAATCTTCATGTCATAAGAAAATAATTTCCACCATTGGCATAAAAAAGAATTTTAATTAATCGTTATTAAAATTTGCTACTATTTTCCATTCGTAACATATCATTGTGATTGCGAGTTTCATCAAATCAAAATTTTTTTCTAAAGAAAAACAAAAAATAGCTTCACATGACATCTTTGTTAAATTTGATCTGCATAGTAAGCAATCTGTTACTTAAAAGATAATATAATACGATGTATAAACTAATATAACATGTAACTTCAAAAATATATAAAATACACAAAAATTATGAATCATAACTCAATGCATTGTAAAACATTACTTATATAAAAACTATGCATTATAGAAAATCTGTATGAAGGAAAAGTATGACATTTAACTTAAAAAATTTGATATGCACTCAAGTTATGACCCAGATGCCGAAAAATATTATACATAAACTCTTATTTTATATCTTACCTCAATCATACCGCAGGTTTGAAAAGCAGTAAATACGAGCATAAAAGCAAATCCCATAATAAGAACATTGATAAACATTTTATCGAATATTTTCGCCATTCCGGATATTATATTTCTTGCTCAGAAACACCTCAAAAATATCAAAACGTGTAATTAAAGAAAGCAATATTAGAAGTTAAAACGATTGCGTGTCAATTATCAATTTTTGTTGTCAGAAGCCTGTGGCTAAACTTTCATAGTCACGGAAATATTTAACTAGGTTTAAAAAAGATAAAAAATTCAAAAACTTTTAGGTCAACTGATGTTTACTCGTTTAATCCTGGAAATGAAAGTGCAACAGAAGAAAACATAAGTCAAACTGTCACATTGACGTTGCCAATTTTAATAGTAATATCAAACCTAGCAGACGATACACTCAGTTTTAGGGCCATTCTTGCTTTATACGATTAACACACCTCCAATCATCCAAAAATTAGAATTTGATTGGTAAAGTGTATTTTCTGCTTAAAAACCAACCAATCAGGTTCGTCATTTCTCAGGTCTGTGCCGCGCAAAATGACTCATTTTTTCTTAAATAAATATAATAGTATCTTTTTGGTGCAGGCATCAAATTCATTTTCTTATGAATAGACGATTTAATTTAAAACATGTTTATTTCTCAAAATACAATATTATCCTAAAAATGAATTCGAAATAAGGCAGCAAATATGTGTCTAAACTTTTGTGATTAATCTGTAAACAATAACAAAAAAACGAAACTTTTGAAAAAAAGAGGTGGTTATTGTATTACATTAACTTTATTAATAATTATAATTATTGCAACAAATTTTAATTGTAACAGTTTATAACTAAGTTATAATTCTTAGTTTTATCTCCTTGGTTCAAAGAATTGTAGTATATTAGATAAATTATTCTTTTATTTGATTATATACTATGATTTTTATCATAACCTAACCTATTAAAACTCATTTGAGCACCACCGTCAAACATGGGTTTCCCATATTCTGAAAACTAATTAAATCTTCGTGACTACTGTTTCTCAAGGTTGCTTTAAAACCTTTATAATTCTCTGTTTTCGTAGATAATATTTTTACCTCGCATTATTTCTACCATTTCAAAACGCAAGGAATGTACTTAACCAAATCAACATCATATATGTATCCGATATTTTCTGTAATAATTCCTATTTATTTATGTTAACGATATTTTTGTATCGGTACCTGCTCGTATAAACTAAAATCGCGTGAGTTTTTTAATTGTTTTGGAATTTTCAAATTTTTTTTTAAAAAATAAGGGGAGAAGAGATGTAACAGTTTGTCTAATGTTGAATCTATTATATATATTCCTTTCAAATTCAATATTACTTTCAATTATTATACCTTTCAAATCAGTCTCCCTCCGTGATTTTCTATTTTTTAGTTTCTTGCGCACCACTGCCTAGAAGTCTTCACAAGTTAGCGACTTTTTTGGTGCAGGTATCGATTTGAAAATCTTCTCTTTATTTTATTTGCCAAAACTTAAATTTATTATTTTAAATATTTTGTTGCATTTAATAATCTCATATCTCTTTATTTTATTTAAAGATAAGTAATATTTAGAAATGTACCATAAACTTTTAAATTTTAGTTTTTTTTAAATAAAAAAGTGTCTGTAATTAACTTCTTAAGGCAAGATTCCCATATCAGTATCTACACCTAAATAACACTAGGGAAGAAATTTTTTTTGCCCTTATACAAATACTTGATCTTGCCTAAATCAACTGTGGTGATATCAAATCTGATATTAGTTTTTTCCTAAAGCTGCAGATTTTTTTTTTAAATGTTTTTTTATACTCTGTTTTTCTTCGACTTATATTTTTAATTGAAATACAAGTTTAAAGACTTTATATGTAATAAGTAGTCTCATAAGTGTTGCTGTGGACTGATCGTTAATACATGGTTCCCAGCCAAGGGTGCCGGGTGCAAGGAGGCTTCTTTTTTAAACTATTAAGGAGTATAAAATTTTTTATTCAAAATATTTTTTATTCACTAACAAATAATTAAAAAATTATTGATATGTAACAATTAAAAAATTGTTTAATCAAACAAAAATTGTAATCATCTTGATAGCTGTCCAAATCTATTTATAACTTTTTCAATGAATTCTGAGTCATCTTTGATTCTTTTCTTATGCACACTCAGCATGCACAAACTAAATCTCTTGTGAGGCATTGTAGACCGATTCCATATTTTGATGCATAGCATTGTACTAAAAGTGCGTTCAATAGTGGACTCTAGTAGCTGGAAGAGTTAGGCCAATTTTGATTGCCTCCGCTACAGCTAGATAAAACGGTGTGGCCTCAATAACTAAATCGATGTATTTGAGGAATTCATAAGAATTTTCTCTATTCCTCCACGTTTCGTACCACGTAAATTCATACTTTTTTTTTAAATGTCTTGTTAACAATGAAGAAATGTAGCTTGAAAAATATTAACAGATGAAAGTATATGTAATAACAAAACAATATGTGATAACAGAATAATTTTTTTTGGGGGGGGATAGTTTGTTTGAGGGTTGCACCCTTTTTTATATTATTCTGCCGGCGCCCTTGTTCCCAGCAGATCACAGAAGTCAAGCATCACTGACTGTGGTCAGTGTGCGCGTAGGTGACCACTTGGATCAGTCTGTGTAGAGGACGAGGGTGTGTGGTATTGGTCCTTGTTAAACTGTTCTACCCGTATAGTGCTTGACTTTGCGTGCAGGTCATCAGGCTACGAAAGTGGGGGTGGCATCCCCTCTGCAGAGGATCAAAATTGTGATGGCGTGTCTTCGGATCATCCTCAGGGATGTTTCCCAGACCGTCACCAATACCCCATTGTACAGCTCCAGTGCGACGTAAATGAGCTACAACCAACTCATAAATGTTGCTACAAACTTCTAGGGGAGTTAGGACACCTCATCAAGATTATAATTTCACAGGAAGCTATGCCCGGAGATTTCGTCATACGCCGCCAGACGCACTTCCCTATTGTGACCTGTTTAGAAATACATGTAAAAACAGTTATTTATTATTTTTTTCAATTTCTTCTTACATACCACTGACTTATCCATTTTAGCTCAGTATCCAATATTGAATTTGGATTGGTACCCACACAATAGAAAATTTTATTTCGCTTAAATTTTATTTTATTTTTATCAAAGTATAATAAAAATAATTATCTCTAATTACAGAAATTAACTGTCGTAAATATAATGTCTGTGACAACAGTTGAGAAAGAGTTTGAGTTTAAATATGGCAGTTCTTCAAAAGAGAGGAAAGTGCAGTTAAAAGTGCCTATTCCATTAGCAATCAGTATTCCTGAATGGGGATCCCGTCTTATGTCCCACAATAAAATTCCTTTTTATGTAGAGGAAGGTATGTAATTTTTTTCTGATTAATCTATATTTTAATTAAGATTTATTTTATCTTAAAATCTAGGGATCATACTTATATAAATATTTGTTTTTAGATCTGTTTAAAGCTTTAAAAGATTTCACTCAGCAAGAGACTGCTAATTATTATGATGAATTGGAATCTCAAGCTTTCAATAAATTAAGGAATGCAGATTCAAATGAAATTGATGAATTAATTAATAAATGGACTAAAGCTTTCGAAGGGGTATGGTATTTTTCTTTTCCTTTAATTCAATTTGTTATTACTTAAATATTCCATTGTGCCTTTTTATTGAGAAGATAAATATTAGCAAGGATGGCAGTTTTACTTAAGTGCTGGCTATTTCTCAGAGTTGATTTAATTTTAATATTTTCAAGCATCAATGATTTTTTAAGTGTTAGCATTGTGTCAAAACTTTATTGATTTTTTAAAAAATTTTCTAAAAATATTAGAAACATAAGAAATTAAGTAAATATAACGAAATAAATTTTTTTACGTATTTCTTAATATTCTCAGTATTTCAAAATCACTAAAAAGTTTCAAGATATTGAGTTTCCAAGATAACAAGTTCTGAACCAAGTTATATATGTTCTAAAAAGTACAAAAATGTATTATTGAATCAGCATTTTAAAATGTAGAGTCAAGAGAGAGAGATAGGAATAAGTACCTATGTAATAACAGTCGACAACATAGGTATCATTAGAGGAAGTGTACACATGCCCTTCTCAAGAATATTTCTCCCATTTTCTAAAAGTTCCCCTCAATATTTCAAGCAAACAGAGAAAATTTTAATCACTCATTATCGATTTAAATTCATTGAAGATAAATAAAAAGAGATTAATCTTTTTGCAGATGTTAAGTAGATTTTAAAAAATGTATTTTGTTATGAATAAAATTAGAAAACTATTTGATTGTGTATTTTAATTTCATCCCCCTCAAAAATTGGAGACCTTCAACATTTATAGTTGCAACGCCTTCAAGAACCTCCTTTCATAGACCTGCAATGCCTATAAATCTAACTACAGCAATAATTATTTTATTTTAATACAACAGTGATAAATTTAGACAAAAATATGTGTAACACTATGTAGAAAATCTTTGTTTACAATAATCTTATATTGTTAGAATTTATTGAAGGGACAGAGTTTATGAAAGGAGGTTCTTGAAGTGTGTGCAATCTGTTTTTCTCCCTTTGTTTTCCATTCAATTTGTATCATCAGAAATCTTATCAGGCCTGTCTGTGACGAATGTAATCAAGAATGAGAGAGATTCCTTTGGAAACTCGTCATTTCATCATATCTTCATGGAAATGTTTCTAGAAAAAATTAGCTTTCTATTTGAAAAAATGTTTGACTATAATACTTTACATAAAAATACCCAATTAGCGAAAAACTCTGCGATTTTAAAATTCAAATTAACATTAGGTGGACATGTAATGTCAGGAGAAATTTTTTTTTTATTTTGACATTTTTTAGTTTTTAAAATATGGAAATTCGAGATATCGAGAGCATTCTGTACTTACCAACAAAATTTCCTATAGTAATTTTGCATTTGATCCCAAAATATTTAATGTTAATGTGCATAATATTACTGAAAAAATTTTACTTAGACTTTATTAACTTAGGATTGCTGCTTAGCTCAGTGGATGTTCATAGTAACGTCTCAGCACATTGTGAACATTGCGCTAGGAGAAATTAAACTAATAACATAAATTTTTTATGTCACTTCATACACTTGATGCTATGGACACCATGTTTAGACATGCACATGAGATGCTGATGGCAATCCAGTCTTTAGTCTTTTTCTAAGTATTTAATATCAGTTAGCAACTTATGCAATAAAATTTTGAAACAGTATGTAATCATTCTTGCATATTTTCACTAATTTATAATCATCATTGTAACTTAAGTGAACAATTTCCTTGCTGATGTTTAATATTAGATAGTTGTGACAGGTTAGTGGATTGTTAGCATTAGCTTATTTGTAATTGAATTTAGCTTTCAATGATTTAAAATACAAAGTGTTTTTAAAAAATATATATAAATAAGAGTTTGATATGCTTTTTTTCTTGTGAAGTTCAGAACTCATTGTTTATGTCTATCTCAGCATTTTTAAAATCAATCAAATATATGGTTTAAAATATGTTCCAAACAAATTATATCATAATGTTACTATCTTTTAAAAATATAATTCGAATTACTTTTCACTAATTTTTGTAAGCATAAATATTAGTATAATTTTATTAATTATTGTTGAAATTGCATAAAAAAATGTCATCATTGTCCTTTCTTTTTGTGCCTAATAACACAAAGGCCTTAAAAAAAGTGTCCAGAAACACAATAACGCAAACATTTTATTTCCTTTATCAATTGCTTTCAACAGCTGAATGTTACAGTAATGTATGAAAGACAGAAAGTGTGCTTTGTCTTGTTTAGGTCGTAAAACAGTTATTAGTCTTTTGCTAGGCAGACTCTAAAATCCAGCTTGATTTAAATATCTCATGAGATATTAAATAAATAATCTCAAGAATTGAAATGGTAATATATTACTTAATTAAAAACTTCACAGATTTACAAATTGGAAATAACAGTTGACATGTTTTAAACACTCTTAACGACATAAGTTCCTAACCACCTCTCAATAGAATATGGAAATGCATTTTACCCCGAATTACACTGTTAGTGTAAAATTGCACTGAATTATACTGTAATTGAAACTGTAAATGTTTTTTTTTTTTAATTTTTTTTCTTTTCTCTCTACTACTGTGGTTTTTCTAGTTTTGTTTCTTACCTTTATTTTTCCATTTTTTGTTGGCAACTTTACATTTTATATCTCAAATCACTTTTGTTTCTTCTCACTCATGTCTGGCAAGTTTTGAAAATTAGTGCCTATTTTTGAGCACTTGAAACATGTCGACTGTCATTTCCAACTTGAATATTTTTGTAGCGAATGAAGATTTTAATCGAGTAATCGTATTAGATACTTTACTACCTGTACAAAACTTTAGCTTTTACAAAAGCTTTAACTTTTATATTCATTAAGAAAAGTTTAATGTTTCCAAGTCAGCAAAGGATACCCTCTCTTGTATAATAACTTTCTATCATAATTTCTTTGCTATATTATCAGATTATAAAATATGAAACTGATTACAATGGAGTTTTCTGCAGTTATAGTGTTTCGTCATTCATGTTTCTCAGTAATATTAGTAGAAAATTACAATTGGGTGCCCCTTTTATATTTTCAATTTTTAATGAGATTTTCTCATAATAAAATGAAATTTAGATAGATCAAAAAGGGAAGATTTTATAACCAGTAAAAGCTCCAAGATCTGGTGCCCAATTCAAAAGACACTTACTAATTTTACACTCTAACAGTAATATTAATTCTTTAGGAACATCTAAAATATGCAAAGTTGGAACAACCATGTGAAAGTAATTCATTTCCAGAGATGTATCACAAACTCATTCATTCACCAGCCCTTGAAACAATGTTAAATCTTGAACATTCATATGCTTTGGCTGTGGGAGAACTTGTGCAAGCTCGTAGCCAGGCTTTGAATGAAATGCAGCAGAGGTAATATTTTATTGAGCATTTTAGAGGTTATATACATAACTGCCAACTTCCTGCAGAAGATTTTTCTTAGAGCTAGGAAAGTACAAGTTTTAACATGCAATTCTCGGTTTAACAAATTTGATTTAAAAGTAATTTCACTACCAATATATATGAGAGTTATATGATTTAGATTAGTTCAAACTTCATTGAGTTAACAAAGATGAGGTGTTTAGTTTTTAGAACTTATCTTATCATACATATATGTTACTGCTTATTACACCAGCAGTACAAAAACTTTTGGAGGATTTGCGACAATTGCAATTTAAACTAAGCTTTTTAGTTGAAAGAAATACCAATTAGGGCAAAGTAGTTCTAATCCCCTCTTGGTCCAAATTCATAACAGTAAATTTAAATATCTATTTTAAGTAATTAGTAATTTTATATTTATAAACAATTTGAAGTTGTAATTTTTTTCAACTATATACTTATATTTTGAATGAAATTTTTTTTTAGAACTTGTAAAACAAAAAAAAAACAAACAAAATGCACCGACCTATAAAATTACTGGAGATGTCAATAAATCAGTGTGTTCTTTATGTAAAAGATGGTTCACTTAATTTTTATTGATATTGGTTGCGGAATGCAATTTCTTTTGCTAGAGCTGTAAATCTTTTCCACATAAGATGGTATAGTGCATGAATGCTAGAATACTGTGCTGTTAGTTTATCCATTTTAATTTTTTCAAAAAGAAAATGAATTAAATAACTTTTATTAAATACTAAACTTATTATTTTATCAAAATTTATGCAAATTAATTGTATTAGCATTTTGTTTATGATTATACTTTATGCTAGAATAATTTTTGTTTTCACTTTGTTTTTATGTATATTTGAACAAATTCAAATCAAGGCAATCAATGGAAATGGAAAGAGCTGTTCCTAAAGTTGGAATATCTTTGACCGATAGAGATATTAATGATATGGCTACGCGACATTTTACTGAAACTGAAGTAAGTTTAATCCATTTGAAGCTTTAAAAATTTTTTAATGACAAGTAAAAGAAAATTATTTTACTGAATTTAAACAATGAATTATAAGAAAAAAAATGTCATTTTAAATACTGATTTCTAAAGTTCTTTTTACTTCTGGGAATTTTAATCTAAAAGTGAAATAGAGCATAGAATATTTTTTGAAACATTTCAATAGAAGAGATGACTTTTAAATGTTATAGATATATTGATATCCTTGCCTAATATTATAAAATATACTAAAAGTAAAGCTTTTCCATAAATGGCATTTGTCGGCCATGTGATTATAGTGGTTAAGGCTCCATAATTTTGATAAAGTATTTTTTATTTTATAGAATATTACTGAATACTGGGATCGAAAAATAAGTAACTTAAAAGAGACTCAAAAGAGAGAATTCCATGAATGGGTACTAAAAGTGCATGAAGATTATCAAAGTGGTTTTGGCTCACCAGGTTACTTGTAAGTATTTATTATTACTGTGACCTATAATATTTTATAAATAGTTTTAAAATTAAAATAAATTTCAATAAGAATTATATTATATTTCCAAATATTATATAATTTAAAATTTGTCTAAATTTTTTAAAAACGTCTTTAAATCTATTTACTTGTTTTAATAGTTGCATAAATTCATTTTAAAATGTTTGGTCTTCATTAATTATTAAAACAGTAAAAAAAATTTGAAAAATATGCTTCACAACTTTTATAAAAACATAATTTATTCGAGTTGTGTTTAATAAATAATTTTATGTGTATCATATTAAGATACTATTACAATTTTCTTTCATATTTTCATTATTGATATATTTAATGTAATATTTGATACTAAAATTTAAGTTACTTTTTTGTAAGTTGTATATTTATGAAAAATATTTATCAGTGAATGCTTTTTTATTACTATGTGAGAAAATGTATTTAAAAGATTTTATGCAAATATAATGAAAATTGTATGTAAAGATTTTATATTTTTTAAAGAGTATGCATAAAAAAGTATGTAAATAAGAATTTCATTTATTATTTCTGTAAGAAGACTACAATTCAAGTTCAGTATTATAAAGACATATAAAAACATATACGTAATACTATTCATTTAATCATACAAAAGCAACTAACTTATAATCACAAAATATTAACCTAAAAAAATATTTTCTTAATAATTATATGTGTTTAGTAAATACCATCGGTGACAATCAGAATTTAAGTCAAATCTCTAAAAATAGTTTAAGCTTTCTTAAATTACCTTTTGTATATGTATAACATATATATATATATATGCATGCACGTATATATATATATTTATTATACATATATTATTATATATAATTATACATACCGGAATATGTATATCTCCATGTATATGTATAAATATATTGGTCTTTATAGTTCTTGAAGCTAGTACTTTATTAAAATAGATTACTAAATCTTTTTAATGCTATTACAAAGTTCAAAGTTTAAGTGCAGTATTTCAACTTTTAAAAAAATTGAAAAAGTGCTTTTTAATATCTTATTTTATCAACTCGCATTTCTTGCACCAGATATTTGTAACTGATAAATTTTTCTAAGCATCAGAATACTCATTCATGTCATATTAAGATTTATAATTTTAGTTTAAAAAAATTTATATATTTTAAAGCCCAACGATGATCTAAAAATTTTAGAGCTTGTGTGAATGTAATTCTCATTGTATGTAAATTACATTTATAGTTTAAAAAGAAACCATGAAAGTTTAATAATTTTTCTTTAAATATACCGTCGTTTTGTTAAATATATACCATATTTAATAAAAACTACATTAACAATGGTATTAAAAGTTTTGTGCGAACGTATTTCTCATTCTATGTAAATTACGGTGATAGTTTAAAAAGAAACTATGAAAGTTAAATCCTTTTTCATTAAATATACCCTCATTTTGTTAAAGATATACTACATTTAATAAAAGCTACATTAATAAACCGTATTAAAAATTTAAGTTAGTCAAATAAAAAAATTAATAAATTATTAAACCCACTATTAGCAAATGTCTCAGTAGCAAAGTCTTGAATGAGTAATTTTAACAGTCATTATGAATTTCTTTCATAAAGTTTTTTTAAATATAATTTAAAACATGCATATAACTTTAAAAATACATTTGTTTTTTATTTAAAAATAAATAAACTGAGAACTATATTTTGTAAAATATTTGTTCAATTTAAAATTATGTGATTTTTATATTGCTTTGCATAAATGTTCGATTACACAACCAGGTAAAATTTTTTTGCTATATCATATGAACTGCCCAGGTAAAAGAATACATTTTTGCTGTGTACTAAGTATTGGATTCGTGAAAATGTTAAAACCTGGTTACTTCTCTAGTAATTTATAGAATTAAAACCTGAATTTTCATTTTCATTTACAAGACAAAGAGTACGAGCTTTATCAGAGGCTGCACCAGTTGAAGACGATAGTGACTGGACACCACAACCTCAGAGAATGGAGGAGAGTTTCACAATTCATTTAGGTAGAATAACTCTTTTGACATATTTTGGAAAAAGTAGGTAGTATCGCAAAGCTCTGTAGGATAATTCTTTTGGAACTTTAAAATAAATATTTTGATTTAATTTACATGTCTGGGAATGTTTCTTTTTTTCTGGGAAAAATTTAAAGTTTACATGTTTAGGCATCAAATAGTTATCGAATTTTACTATTATTGCTGTTATACTAAATGAAAACTAAAAATTTTTGAAATTCTAAGTAGATAAAACTTCTTTGAAAAAAACGCGCTAACCTAGGTTTTATATAAAAAAGGTTTTTATATATTTTTTCTTTTAACAGGATGCAATTTAAGTCTTAACTGAGCAACCCCAGTTAAACATTCTATTAATTTGTTACATATCTTTTTCTTGACTTCTTTTATTTTCTATCTGCGCATTGTAATAGAGGGTGTTGTTTTCTTTAGTTTTTAATGTTTCCTTTTCATTCGGCTTGCTTGTGAAATCGCTGTTAGACCTGGTTAAGTGAGTTTTTATTTTCTGATGATTTTGTTTGAGTTTCTTTTCTAAATTGGTTATTTGTATTTCATGTTTTTTTCCTGGACTTCTATACAAAACCATCGGGGTACTGAGGGAGTTAATTTAGGCATTTGCTTCTCCCTCAATAGAAATGGTTTGGTTTTATGGCTACTGGGGCCGGTACCCCCTGAAGACGTCGACTTCGGTGGTCATATTTTTATTTCCTTCATTTCCTTTATTACTGTTATTTAATACTAATTTTAAAGTTTATGCTCATTAACTATTTGATAATGATAAAAAACCATGAAGATAAGTTATTTGAAAGAGATTAAATAATAACAATTTTAAATAAAAGTAAATGTAGTAGATTTTTTCCTGCAGTAAAAACTGATATTTAATTTTACAAAAAAAAAAAACTTTACCTAACTTTGTTATATATTTCTGATAGGTTCCCAACTGAAACTGATGCATAATCTAAGGCTGTTATCTGCAGATGTACTTGATCTTTGTCGACATAAATTAAATAAAGTTGGGTAAGATTATAAATAAAAGTTTTAATATCTATCACTGATAACTATAGATAACATAACGTTTTAGTTAATAAAATTAGAAGTATTTTTTTTTAATTTTAATAAATGTTGAAGTACCACAAGTAATATAATTTTTGAAATCATGCATGCTGATGAATATAGAAAAATCTCAAGTAGTACAAGTACTATTGCAAATTTATGTTAAAATTGTAGTAATAGAGAGAAAAGTTTTAATCTAGTTTGCAAATTCATTTTCTGATTCTCTCAAAGAGCAGTCATACTTTTATTTGCATATACAGTGGAGCATTGTTTATACGACGTTTTAGTGTGGTCCCAAATCATTCCTATTCATTTTAATGTAAAAATATATCGTTTATACGACGCACAAAATCGGTTATACGTCGGTTTTTAGATTTTGTTCACGTTTATTTAATTTTTTATTTTTTCTTGTGTATTTTAAAAAAGGGCGGAATTTGCCAACATGAATGATACAGAAAAGGGTGCCAACAAGAATGCTTGGATGACGACCGTAATTTTTACTAGATGACTGAAAAAACTAGACAATGTTATGAAGAGGCAAAAACGAAAAATTTTGCTATTCATCGACCAATGTCCAGCGCACCCATCGATACTAATTATTTTGGAAAATGTAAAAGCTCTCTTTTTTCCTGCAAATTGCACAAGTGCGCTTCAGCCATTAGATTTGGCCGTGATTAGAAATCTAAAATTGCATCATAGAAAGCAGTAAGTTCAACTCGCTATTCAAAGCATTGTAGAGACTAATAGCAAGAAAATATAATTAAAGGTAACATACATTCAAATTGCTCACTGCAATTTTTCTTCTTTGGTTATTTGTTTGTTTTGCTTTGTCTAATTTAGAAATTTATGTAAATCAACACGTTAAACATTAAAATTAACTGAAAACAGAGTTAGTTTCAGTTTTAGAAGTAAAAATCGATTATACGACGTTATCGTTTATACGACGTTTCTCGGTGGTCCCTTCGGCGTCGTATAAACGATGCTCCACTGTATATAATTTTTAGCCTGTATTTATGAGAAATAAATACAAAATTTTCTAAATTCTCGCTATTTGTTATAAAATTAAAAAAAAAAAAAACTTAATTTATTTTTAAAGGGTTTATTTTAATCAGTATTTTCTGTAATTATTAAAGATTATTTGTTGATCTCTAAAAAAAAAAATATTTTTTTTTTGTGTGGAAACTTTAAATACATGTTTTCTTTAAATTTCCAGTGGAATTGTTGTTCCGCAACCTCAACGTTTACAGACAGCTATCTCTTTGTATTCAAATAATCTAAATGGTCTTGTCCTATTAGTAGATAACAGAATAAACTCTTACACAGGAATAAAAAAAGGTAAATTACTTTTCTATTTAAAGCTCATTAATTCTACATGATAAAGGAGAATTATTTCATTTAACTAACTTTGTAATTAAAATGACTTCTTTTACAAGTAAGATTCTTTTTAATTATGTATCTTTTACCCGTAACAGCAACATATGAAGTTCTATTCAAATGCAGATTTTTTGTGTGTTTTGTTTTTATATATTTTTTAGTTTCAAGTGTTGAATTGAATTTTTACACTCATTATTTGTGTTTCTTTTTGTATTTTTCTAAGTGGATTTTTTGTATTTTTGTTGTTGTTTATATTTTCAAATTGAAATAAAACCTTAGGTGTTGCAGGGATATTTAAAGGAAATATACCTTAGCTATCTCATTTCTTTGAGGGGTTACTGTAGATCAAAATTGGCCAAATAATTTTTCCTCTTTGTATATTCTTTTACTTACAGTTTTAATATAAAAAAATTGTCTGCAATTCCCCATTGTTGGCCAGGAGGGTTATAGATATTAAGGCTCCACAATTTTGTGATCAACATTATAATTAGGGCAATGTGGTCAGCATCGTGCACAATCTAAACTTCTAAGACAAGCTATTACTTAACGATTTGCAGTTGGATAGGTTTTGATCTGCCACAGTGTATCAAACTCTAGTTCTTTACAATTACAGTTTAGTGCCTTAACCACTGAGGTATTGTGGCACACAGTTTCAACATAGCTATACATTAATACTCTGCCAAAAGCCTTAGAGATATTTGTAAAGTTTCTTTTAAAGAAAGAGATTATTTTTACATAAAATTCTTATTTCTGTGGTTCATATCTGTTAATAAAAATTAAGGTTTATTAATGCTATTGCTCTAAATTTAACTATGAATACACATACATAAACTGTTTTAGTTATAGTGCTATAATACAAAATTATTTCAAATCTGACATTTTTTTTTCTTCCTGATATTATGGACAGATTATTACATTTAACATTTTAAAATATTCCCCAGGAATTAATGTATTTTTATAACAAAAATTAGACCACAACAAAGGAAAAAGCTTTGTGCAAATAATATTTAATCATAAGCAGAATCGAATACATAGCAACATAAATTAAAATTTACATCTCAAGACACATGTAATTCAACAGCAGTAATATATACAAAATTGTTAGAAATGTGACATTTTACTTCCTCTGAAATTTATGACATTTAACATTTAGTGCAATGTGCAAAAATATCTTTTTATTTTAGAATTTGCAGATGTATGTAAAATGTCTACAGAATTCCACTTTGAAGATATAGATAAGGCAATTGAATTAATTAAAGAAGAAAGCAGAAAAGTGGCTGACTGGCGTGCAGCTAATTCATCACAAGCTGATAGCAGCAGTCAAAGCAGTAGTGGTAAATCAAACTCATCAGATCATTCTCAAACAGTAAATATATCCTTTTAATTTCTAAGTAATTGCTCTGTAAATCATTTCATGGTGTCACTTCAAAATGTTTCAATTAAGGAGTAAATAATTTATTTAAATTTAGATATTAAAAAATGATATTAAGTACAATTACCAGATATTGGTCTCCAAAAAAAAAAAATAAATAAAATTCATTTTTAAAATTTCTTAAATGAATTGAAATTTAAAGAAGCCATTTTTTAAAAAATAAAATAACTATAATTTTCTCACCAGTTTGTGCCAAAATTAAAGGGATAGAAATTTTATCTTCAACAAATAATAATGAATTAAAATGCATTCTTGTAAAATATAAGGAAGCCTGTTGCCTATTGAGCTAATAGACAATCACCAGGCATTCGTTAAATAAACAAATAATAATTATAAAATAAAAGTTTTACTATTTTCTGATTTTACTTGTTTCTGCTTAAATTTAAAGTACACTAAATGCAGCCTCCAAATTATTTTTTTTAAACTAATATAGTAATTTTTTAAAAGAAAAGAGAGACATGAAAGATACCAATTTTTCTGTTTTTCTCTGCACATGTTGAATATTTTATCTAGTATGAAACCATACATGAAAAAAAAAAACTTTAAAAAGATACAAAATATGGGGATTTTATGATTATATATTCTAACACTACTAAACATTAAATTAATTATTTGTATTTATTAAAAATGGCTTGATAAAAAATGATTACTGATTTCCTTGTAGGGAAAGAATTAGGACATACTTGGTCCAAAAAAAGATTATTTAAATTAAAAAAAGTGTATATTTCTGATTTTTTTATGTTAAATTTTGGTACATATGACAACTATTTTAGTTATATTCCATTTAAAATTTTTTAGTGTGCCATTCTTTTTCAAATTATTTTTGAAATTCGTTTTTCTTTTTTACAAAGATAGACATTTGAAATATAAATTTAAATTAAATTTTTTGCAGGAAAACTGATTTTATAAATTAACAATTAACCTTCATACACAGCCTATTATGCACCCTTTGTTTGCTTTTATATAGTTTTTCTAAGAAATACACTTACTAATAAACCTTTAGATGAAATAGTTATATGAGTCAAAAGATTTTGATATAGCAGAAATTTGCTTATACTTGCAGAAATTTGCATATTACATTTACATACCTATTTCATATGCTTTTAATCAAAAATAAATGAGGGGAAATGCATTAAAATTAATAAGTAGTTGTTAAGTTAAATGTAAATAATTAGATTTAAAATAAAAATAGTTAATAAAAGTTAACTTTTCAAATAAAAAAAAATGGATCATCTTTTTTGTTTTGTTGAAATTCTGATATAGTAAGGTGTGACTATTTAATTCAAAAATTTAAATTACTTTTGAAAAAAATAGTCATTTAAACCTATATCAATATTAAATTTTTGAGAGACACCAGCGAGTGATTTGCAAAATGCAGCTTGTATTATATACTACTTGTTCTATTACTATGTTTTGTGTGGAGTTACAAATGCTCTATTATTTTCTACACACTTCTCTAGTGACACTTTAAACTAATAACTTTTAGACCACTTAGTGATATTATATACTATGTATCACATCAACTGCTCATTGAATGATCAACTGAAGGAGATAAAAATATATAGTTGCTATATTCTGCATAGGAAGCAAAATACTTTGTTTCGAAAGTTTAAATTAGTTGTACTGTTTGTCAACAGATGGCACTACAGAATAGAAAAACTATATATATATATATATATATGCATGTCAGGTTTTATCAATTAAAATATTTTCATTTGCTTATCTTCAGATATGCTGCATTGTTGCTGTAAATAATAGTTATTTTGAAAGCATTTTGTTTTGTTTTTCTCAACAGTGTCATCTGTTGACAAATTTTGAAAGTATGAATTTTCTGATTTTCTAACGGTTATAAGCAATTTTATAGTTTTTTTAGTTTTGCAGTACCTTTACAAATTCAGCTGTAGAAAAAACGGTACCTTCATAGAAACGTTTTTGAAAAAGTATTTATAATTTAAATACTTTTGATTTTCCTGTTTCTTAAAATTTTGTTTAAATGATGAATGTTTCAAAGGCTAAATTTTAAATTGTATTAGAGTCTACAGAAATACTTGCTTGGAGAGACTATTTTTCTCAAATGAATTTAATTTGTACAGGCCTGCATTGAATGGCATAACAATCTTTGGATATGCATTTAAGAACTATACTTCATGTACCCGGCAGTCTCTTTGGCACAGAATGTGTAGAAATCTTTTCTACATTTAAAAATGCTGGTAATTGTCGATTATGTTTATAAGATTCTGAGAATAAAAAATGAGCTTTTTCTATGAGCTTTAAAATATCAAACCATTTAAATTCTATTCTTTAAACTCTGTTTTCTTTTTAAAATTTATTCTTAAAAAAGTTTAATATAAATTTGAATTTTTTTTTCTTACCAAACCAGTTGATAATTAGTTTTTTTCATGACGAAAATAACTATTAGTATTAAATGCATGTGAAAATGAATATTTAAAACTAAGCTATAGTCTCTTAATTGTTAATCATTCCAAAATCATTGTTAGCAATTAAAATTTAATTTAATTCACTTTTAAAAAATATGTGCAAGTTTATGTTTATTTTTTAGTGTTATTTTTAATTTTAATAAATTTGCTGAAAATTGATAAAATAGATATGTTTAAAAAAAATCACTGAGAATGCAACAACTAATTCATTATTATTTCGTCTAGTTTTTTGTTGACTATTAAATTGATTGATTTCTACTAAATTGATCTTTCAAATCATTGGGTAACAGACATTTTTCTTTTTACAGAGAAGTAGTCCTGCCACCCTTAAAACGGGAGACTTTTACATCACTCGCCATTCTAATCTCTCAGAAGTACATATTGTTTTTCATTTGGTAGTTGATGATACATTACGATCAGCTGATGTAAATTCAAGACACCCAACAATACTAGGATTACGAAACATATTGAGAGTGGCACATGAGCACGATATTTGTACAGTTACCATACCTCTTCTTCTAGTTCATGAAATGTCTGAAGTATGTAATTTTATGGTTTCAAAATTTATCGTATTTCATCTGAATCATCTATGTTTGACATTTTTACTAACTTTGAAAAAGTAACAGATATTAATGTCACTATAAACATGCATTATAATATTTAATTTTTTTAATTATTCAAAAAGGATTTTTCACATGTAATTAGCCCTTAGTATAATTTTCATAAAATGAATAATTCATAAACAAACATTTCTTTTATCTGTAAAGTTTTACTTATTATATGAGGGTTACTCTGAAATTTATTTGAGATATATACAGACAAATACTAAGAGATATGAAAATTTGACTATTTATACTAACATGATTTTTATAGGTCAATTGTAAGTAGTTTAGCTCTCATAATGAACTAAACTTAAAGATAAGATGTAATTACGAATAACAATTATGTAATTATTCGTAGCTATCTTTAGAATAATTACACCGCGTTCAGTATTTTTCATATGATTTTGAAAATTATTCATTATTAACAAATATTTCAAGTGTGTAAAGTGCCGATTCAACAAGTTTTACAATGTTTAATTGTCATTTTTTATTTATAAAAATTCAGAGCTTTTGTAAAAATTAATATAGACTTATAAGAATTCTCGATATTGAAATGGTTAACTAATCACACTATTTCTATTAAATGAATATAATAATATGCATGAAAATAATACACATTTAGTATAGGAACATGAACTTTTTTAAAATTATAAATAGATTTTCAAATAAAATATTTATTGATTTTATAGGAAATGACAATTCAGTGGTGTTTAAAAAGAGCTGAATTAATCTTTAAATGTGTTAAAGGTTTTATGATTGAAATGGCATCTTTAGTTGGAGATGAAACAAGAACAGTGCAATTTCTCGTGCCAAAGGTATTTTTCAAAAACTATTCTAAAGTATAGCATAAACTTGTAATTTTTGTTAAAAGCTAAATGTTTTTTTTTCTTCTTAAATATAATTTTCATTTACCTAATATTCTTTTTCTCTCTTTCAGGGCATATCAGAAGAATTGTTTATGAATTTATCAAATTTATTACCAGCTATATTTAGAGTGTCTAATCCTGTTGTATTAAAATAGATTATCATCGCAATTACAAAAGAGAATAATTTAATTTATTTATGTAAATTTTTAATTATTTTGTACATTACAAACAAATCATTCCAAAAAAGTGGTGCAGTTGTACCATTCATCCCCAAGCTGGACTTGTTGAGTAATGAAGCACCAATTTGCCATTTATATTGAAACACTGAAATAAAAACAATGAATATGTATAATAAAATTAATTTATGTGCAAATGAATGTATAAAATCTTTTGTATAAAAATTAATAAATAATTTTATAGTAATGAAAAAATTTTCATACTTATTTTATATAATATATAACGTAATTGCATTCAATATCTAGAGCTAATACAATTATTTAATGTAAGATCTTCAAAAACAACCTATAAATATTGGATTTTTATGGTACTTCTATGCTACTTATACATAACTAGGTACAGTAAACAAAAATATAAATAAATAAACTTGAATAATAACTGACCTGGAATAACTTTTGTTCTAATGATTGGATTTTTACTTACTAATTTCCAATCTTAATGGTTAAAAAATTTGACCTCAAATATACTAATTAAATTGAGGAATAATGCACAAACTTATTTTCTTTGAATAACATACTTTTTTTCCGACAAATTTGGATTCTTGACTATATCAAAATGTGGTAAATATAATAGTCAAAAAAGTAACTTTGAATAAACTAATTCCCTAAGAATATGGCAGGGTAACTTAAATAAGTAGGTCAGAAGGTTAGTTGGACACATTGATGTTAATTTATCTTCATGTATATCTCATTGTTTCTTTGGATTTTTTTAAGCAAATTGAAACATTTTGGAATACAATTATAGAACTATTTTATCCAAAGATAATTTTTTAAAAATGAATAAAATTTTATAAAAGAAATTTCATCATGCATAAGGAACATTAATTATAAATGTTATAGCACATTATAGTAGCACATTCTTTACTCTTCAAAATGATGCAAAAATCTAAATAATTTATTATTTCTAACTCTAGATGTTCAGTACAAAACTATCATTTCATGCAACACAGTTAAGTTGAAAATGTTCATAAAATATTTCATTTTAAGAACTCGTCAACTGTAAATAAATAAACGCTTATTTTCATTATAATTTATGCTTGAAACAAACACATATTTGTAAAAAACTAATTTTTAATTTTATTGTAATTGTAGGCATTTTTAAAAACATTTATTAAAACATGGCATATTATATCATTGTTAATTTAATTCCATAAAAAATAAAAATATGCAAAAGCATCAATTGTTTTCTTTTGTTTATATCAATGCTTAATAAATTGTAAAAAATTTATAATTTTTCTCTTATAACTGGACTGGCATTTTAAATTTCTGAAGTTCAAAAAAAAATTTTTTTTTTATGTAAAAGTAAAATGGAAGGAGCATTTAACACGCCCAGTTTCATTGTTCACTAACAATATGTGTGTTCTAAGGATAAAATGTAGATGTTATTTGGGTGAAGTTAATTATTTTTTTATAAAATGATTTATATTAAATTGACTTTGGTAGTAATCACAATGTACATACTAATAGTTATGGTAATAAGACTATGGTGTATTGGTAGTAAAAATTAGGGAGTATTCATGAGTATTTTACAAAGGGCAAATAATGGTGAATATTGACGAAGCAAAATTGTCAATATTTCCATTATGCAAACTGTTATTTATTTATTTATTTTTAAGAAAAAGGTTAATCTATTCTATAGAATACTGTTTCAATTAAGAAACATTTTAGTGCTTATTGCAACATTTATGCTGCAGCTATAAAAGTTATATGACATCATTTTAATTGTAATAAAGGTTTAGCCTAATCCAACTCAGGCATGAAGATGATGAATTTTATAAATACTATAAACAATTTTTAGTAATTACAAGAAAAATCTATTAACTAAAATCTTACTTCATAAACATTGCCCACTTCATGATCTAGACTCGGAGAGAAGGATTGGTTGACATAAAGAAACTATAGTAAAAAATGGAGATAGATTACAAAACATATTTTATGTGAAATTTAAATTTATCAAATAAAATTCAAATTATGTTACTAAAGTTTTAGCACTTGTTACATATGTTTAAAATTATTTAATAGTTATTGAAAATTTTAATCTTACAATATTTTAAAAATCAAGAGAAGTTATTACTACAAATTTACAATTAAATTAGTATATTGTATTAAGCTAAAGTTACCTGGGATCTAACAGGAACTAAATGTGATAATTAAATAAAGATTATGTTATAAAATTTTCAAAACCATTTCGGAAAATTGTTTTTTCTAACAATTTAGTACCCAAACCTGCTTTGGGGGAAATACTACTCTAAGCTGCTGTTATATTTTCTAAAATGAATTTTTTAAGAAACTTGAGTTTTATTTAAGAAACATGCAAAAAAATTAAATTTTTAATATTGTCTACTGACAGGAGGCGTCACTTTAAAAATTCAAAGTCTTTCCATATTTCATTCTGTATTTAAAAAATAGAATAAATTTAATAAATATATCTTATTTAGATGCAACAATTTTTTATCTGTCAATTTTAGATTAAACTTTGAAGTTTCAGAAAATGTTTAATGGAAATAAGTATAGCATGTATTTATCCTTTAACATTTCTTTGCAACTATTTAAGCTCAGAGAAATACTTATTTTTTTTCTCACAAAAACATAGTCATCAAAACCAAATTGGCAAAGAATATAACAATTTCTAAGAAATAACATATTCTCTTTCAGTTATATATTCTATCTTTTGACTTTTCTGAAAACAGAAAGAATTAAAATCTTTTTTAAAGCTTTAATAATTAATAGGTTTTCAGTCTTGGATAAGTTTCATAATCATGATCAAGTTAAAAACACCAAGAAAGTGTTTAAATAAATAAAATAAAGAAAGAGATAAATCGTATACTGCATCAATATAACTATGTTAGGAAATGGCATTTCTTCTTGATGCAACTATTTTGAAAACTTTATCAATTAAAATTTTTTGTAGGTACATTTTTAAATATTGTGATCAGGTTGATCACTTCCACTACTTGTATCCATACAAATTATTCATTGAAAGCAGGATAAATTTAGAGTTTAGTTATTAAATTATTTTTAAAAATATTCAATTTTCATAATTATTTTAGGAAATATGTCAAAAATTATTGAGAACTAAAAGTACTAAATCTGCTTAATTTTTGTTTAATGCATAGTTTTTTTTAATCATTATTTTATATCACCTCAGAATAGAAAAAAAATTAAAATTCATTTTCCTTTTAATTACAGAAAGTATTTTGAAATTACTTACGATAGAAGCAGATGCATCTAGATGCATGTATTTTTTCAAGAAGCCAATGACCTTTGCCATAGTGCAGTTTTTTTCAACTGTCCATTTTTTATTTTTTAAAATAGGAGCATTGCCAGTAGGCTTCAGCCACAAAGTCACTGAAATACAAAGATATTTATTATGAGAAAACATTTCATTTTAATGAACATTAAACAAAAGCAGTTTGGTTTAAGTTCTCAACATCTTAATAATTTTATGAGCATAAGTAAGTTTCCTAAAAATAAAACATATTTGAGGTTTATACATTAAGTCAATTTATTATAAAAAAGAAATCAGTTTTTTAATGCCATTAAATAAGCTGTAGCCAACTATAAAATAAGTTGGCAGTGCATGAAAAAAAAAACTGAAGGACAGTCGCCAGAGGTATAGTTGGAGAAAACTCCTAGAGAAGGCCAGGACCCACCCAGAGTGTCACGCCAGTGAAGAAGTGTATGAAAAATACATTACAATAAAAAAAGATGCGTCAATCTGTTGTATTTAGTTGTCATTTGTTACACATTAGGGATAGTTTTAAAATATAATTAAAGGATATACTAAATATTTTGCTCCTTTTGTTGACTATTTGGTCAAGCTAAACATGAATTTATTTGGTTCAAATGAGTCTAAATTTACTGTTTATTAACTATATACATTTCTGGCAATAAAAAAAATTAAGTTTATTTTTATTAAGAATGCATACTTGTTACAAATTTAAAGAATTTTTTTTTTCTTCTTTACTTTCAAAATGTGACTATTAACAACAAAAAAAAAAAAAATATATCTAATTATGTGTCAACTGTCAATTAATTATATCCATATTTTAGTAAACATTTTTACATACTTGATAACAGTGGGAATTTATTTTAAAATTCTTATGCTTTTTATCTCTATTAAAAAACTATTCCAGGAATTAAATTGACCAGAGATTCAAACATTTGCTCCATACTCTTCAGCATTTATTGATAATATTTGTTCATTAAACTTAAATAAATTATTTGCACATAATTATGTATTTCCGCCCAAGGCTTAAGAATACTTTTATTGAGAATAACTTTTAAGAACTGTACAATATTTTTTAAACAAAATTCTTATTTTTAATACAAATCAATTGTTTGAAAGCTAAAAAGCGGATAAAATATTCATTATTTGGCTGAAATCAAATTTACTGCATCTCTCGTAAGAACTATGTAAAAAAAAAAAAAAAATTGAAATCATTAAACAAAAACCAAACTTGAGTTCAAAGTAAGATAAAAATTCTTCAGTGCAATAATGGCTTAAAACAAGCTTATTGCCCAACATTTTTTTTCAGGAAGACTAAATAAAGATGGTCTAAATATTGTGATGGTTTTGTGGTTAAGGTACTGAACTGTCATGGTGACGAGCTGGGGTTTGATCCCTAGTGGTTGCTTAAAGCCATCTAGCTTCAGATCAATGGGCCCCAGCACAGTGCTGATCTCATAGCTACAGTCATGCCTTGGATCAAAAAAATTTGGAGACACCCCCTGGCACATAACAGGAATACCTTACTTTAAATAACGATGGACGGTTGAGTTCAGTAATGTCCTAAGTGAAAATGTAATATTTTGAGATAACTGTACCGTAAACATACATATTGAATTAATGGCTTAACAAATTTAGGTTAACTTAATTCGTCTGTAAGAGGGGTTCTTGAACCATCCCTGACGATTTCAACAAAGTATAAAACGGTCATTAAATTAAAGTGTTAATGTTTATCTTTTTTTTAATG